TGTTTCTTATATTAAATTTTGTAGTTATTATTATATTTATTCTACTTATAAAAATGATTCACTTTTATTTTAAAGTTGTAATTTTTGTTCTTAAATTTGATTATTTTCTTATATAAAAAGCTACTTTTCTTAAACAGAAATATCTTTTTTAAAAAAAATCTATTAAAACTAATTTTACAGTAAGTTGATTTATTTACTTTGATTTTATTCTTATAAATACTTATTTATTTATAATTCTAAAGCATTAAATAAATCCTTATTTTCATTAATTTATATTATCAATTTTTATTTATCATTAACTAATTATTAATTTTCAGTATTTATTTATAAATTTACTTCTTTTAAAATTAAAATTTATTATTAAAAGCATTGACATTATAATTCAGAATTTTAGAAGTTTTTAAGATTATTTTCATTTTCAGAAATTAATCTTTCGTTTTCTAAAAGCAATTTTTCTTATTTTAGTTAATTATTTTAATTTTATTATTTTATTAGTTTGATTTCTTCTATTAACCTTTCAATTTAGACTTATTTTTAATTACTCAATTAACTATTTTATATTCCAAGTTCGTTATTTTATTTTGTCAAATTATGCTTTATATTTTCTAACTATTACTTATCTTCTATTAACTCTTTTCTTTATTATATTAAATCTTCTATTTGAGTGCTTAATTTATTTAATTCTTGAATTAAGTTTTCGTTTTTATTTTATAATTCAGTATTTAAATTTTAAATATAATCACTCTAACTTTTTAAATTATAATTATTTTATTATAAGTTTTCGTTATTTTTTTATAAATATAAATATTCTTATTTTAAAACTCTTTAAATAATAATAGAATCTTCATCAATTTATTTAAAATTAGTATTTTCTTATTATAAGATATCAATATTTTTAATTAAATCTTATATTTAATTCTATAAATACTCATTCTTTTATTTAATATTAGTATTATCTTATTATTAGTTTTGAATTTTATTTATTAAGTTTTAATTATTTTCAAAGAAGTTTTCATTCTCTTATTTTAAATTTTAAATAGTTTAAAGCAGTTATTTATTTTTATTAATATAATTCTATTATTATTGTATTAAATCATCATTTTGTTTTTTTAAATATTCTTTATCCTCAGCTAAATTTGAATTTAATTTTTCTAAAGATTATTAATTATTTAATAAGTTCGAGTTTTGAGTTGAAATTTTATCGATTTATTATTAAAGATTTTCAAATTAAATTTAAATATTTTCAATTTACTATTATAGTTCTTCTTTTTATTAAATTAGTTATTAATTTTTATTTATTAAATCATCTTTTTTTGTAAAATATAGACATTATTTTATTTATAAGTATTTATTTCTTATTAAATGATATTATTTTATTGATTTAAATTTTATTCTTTTATTAAAATCTCTTCATTTAATTTATTTAAATCTTTATTTTATTCTAACAGTTCTTAGTTTTATTAAATAAAGCTTTCTTTTTCAACTTATATTTTTAGAATTAAATTCTAGTTTTTTTCTTTTTCTACTTTTAAGATTGTTTTTAATTATTCATTTTCTTTTTCTAAGATTTATTTATTAGTAGTAATTTTTTCTTTTTATTAATTTAAATTATTAATTTAATTTTATAAATCTTCATTATTATTTTTTAAATTTTATATCTATTTATTCTATATTTCCTATTTGTTTTTAAAACATTCATTTTTTTTTATAAAATTTAATTTTCCTTTACTAAGTTTTTATTAACTTTAAATAAATTTTCTTTTTCTAATAAAATCATTTCACTTTCTTTTTGAAATTCTTAAATTTAATTACTAAGTAATTCATTTTTTTCAATACAATTATCATTATTAGTAATTAGTTTTTCTTTTTCTATTTACTATTGTTAATTTCCTTATTAAAGTTATTGATTAACATTAAAAATCTTGTTTTTTTCTTCAGAATTGGATTATAGTTCTATAATTTATTCAGTAAGAGCCTATAATTTAGACAAGTTTTCTTGATTTTGTTCTTATAAAACTTCGTTTTTATCCAAAAGAGCTTATTTTTCTTAAATTAATAAACTTTATTATAAAATATGTTTTTAATTTTTTTCAGAAATATTTTTTATTTAATTTTCTTAATCAATACTTTTAATTTAGAATTATTATATTTGATTTTAAATTAAATTTTCATATTATTGTTTCTCTTAATTATATTATTCTTAAACCATATTTATTTAGTTTTTAAAAAATAATTATAATTCATTTATTTCTTAATCTTTTTAATTATTTAATTTATTTATTTATTTAAAATTATTTTAATGTATAAGATTTTATATTTATTAATCTTTTTTTCTATTTATTCGTTCATAGTATATATTTCTTTATTTAAATTATTTACTTTTTGATTTAAAATAATTATTTCTTAATTCAATCTTTTTATATTTTCTTATAAATTAATACTTTCTTCTTATTTTGATATTTAAAGGCTATTTATTACTTTTTGTTTTTCTTAAATTAATTATTCAATTTCTGTTTTTATATTTTCTTAAGTATTATTTTTGTTGATTTTATTTTCATTTTTTAATTAAATTATTTCCTCATTTTTTTAAAAGAGTAATTTACATAAAGAAATTATTTATTTTTAGTTTTTTAAAAATAAAAATTAAAGTTTTAACATTCATTTTAATTTTTTTCGATTTCCTTTTTAAAAAAAAATTCTTTTTATAAAAATTATTATATATTTATATTTTAGTTATCATTTTCTAGTTTTAAATTTATTATTTCCTCATTTTTATTTTATAATTCTATTTATAAATTTATTTTTATTCTTTCAGTTTCATTTATTTATTTTTATTGATCAAACAATTTATTTGTTATTAATTTTATTTATTATTAATATTTTTATAATTATTCATTTGTTTTTTATATTTAATCTTTTTATTTGTTTATTTATTCATTTATTGAAATATAGTATTATAAATTTTATAATCTTTCGTCTTTTTCGAAAACTTATTAATTTGTTTCTATATTTTCTTATAATTGATTTTTAACAATTTCATTGAATTCTTATAATTAATTTTTATCAAATTTTTCATTTATTTAAATATCTAAAAATCCCTAATTTTTACTATTATTTTATTGAATTTTATTTTCTAAATCATCTTCAAAATTTTTTTAAATAAAATCTTTAATTTAATTTTAATTTTCGTCCTTTTTTATTTTAAAATTTTAAATAAAGAACTATATATTTACCTAGTTATCTATTTTTAATTATTACAATAATTTATTTTATTTAAAAATTATAGTACTTAAATACGTTATTTCCTATTAATATTTTTAAATTTGAGATTAATAGATATTTTATTAATTATTTAAAATATCATTATCTTTTAATAAACGATCATTTTTATCGAACAAGCTTTAAAATTCTTATTTTCTATTAAAATTTTCTATCTAAATTTAATTTTATTCTGAAACTATTAAATTAAATTAAGACTCTTTTTCTTCTAATCTTTGATTTAAGCAAATAATTTAATCTTCATATTATTAATTTAAAAGTAATACTTATTAATTTTTTTATTAAAGAGTTAAATTTTTCTCATTATTTTTAACAAGAAGATAATTTTTAAAAAGAATATTTAAAAGCAAAAGTTTGACTTTTTTCCTTAGTTTAAAAACATTATCTTAATATTAATTTTTGTAATTTTCCATATTATTTTTAAATAAGGAACATTAGTTTTTCTAAAACTCGATTTCTTTAACAAGTTCATTTTTTTATTATTCATTTTAAGAATTCATTTAAGTAAATTATTTTTCTATAAAATCAATTTATTCTTTAAAAGTATTTTCTAAATTCCTCTTTTCTAATTATAATTCATTTTTTAAAGTTTTAATTTGCTAAGTTTATTAAAATATTATATGCTTATTTTCTTAAATTAAAGCATCTTTCTCTTATATTTGTTTTTCAAAAAAATACTTTTCTTCAATTATTCTATTGTCATTTTCTTATAAAAGAAATTGAATTTTTTCATTATTATTAATTTCAATAGACTCTATTTAATTTTATAATTCCTCTAATTAAGCTCGCATTTGAAAAAGACTTTCTTCTAATTAGTCTTTCTAGTTTTTCTCTTTAAAGTATTTTTCTTATTAATCTTATATAGTTATGTTTGCATTTTATATTTGTTCTTTTAATTCATTTATTTATATTTAATATTAAGCTTATTCTTCCTAAAATGATTATATATTTGATTATTTTTCGTTACTTCCATTCAAAAGGGTTGCTTATTATTGTATAACTATTTTTAGATTATATATTTCTTATTAAAAAGATTCTATTTATTATAAATTTTCGTTTATTTGTTTTTAGTTTTTTCTATATAACAATCTAAAGCTTCTATAGCAAGTTATAGTCTTTAATTTGGTGTAAATAAATTTTCTTCATGTTAAATACCAATTTTCTTTTCGATTTTTTTAATACTTTCATATTAAGAATTTTCCATATATTGAATATTTTTTCTAATTCCTAAATAGTATTTTTGTAGAAATTTTCCTTTTTTAAAAATTTTCTAATTATTGTTAAAGCAGCAAATCATATTTTTATATTTAAATTTTTTAATAATGTAAATTTTTGTTTTTTCCTTAATTTATTCTTAGTGTTCATAATTTAACTTTTCAATAATACTGTTTTTTCCATTTTCTTTCAAAAATAATTCTAATTGTTAATTAAGACTTTTTTTTCTTATTTTAGATATTATATTTCATTTTCTTTTACGTTTAAAGTTTGTAAAATTGTATCTAATTCTTCTTGTAATTAATTTTAGGCATCATGGATATTTTCATAAGAAATTAATTAATTTTTAAGTTCTTCTATTTCTTATTTTTGATTTTTATTTTCATTTTATATTGAATGGTTTTATTCTTAAAGTATTTCTTCTTTTTTATGAGTTGTTTCTAATTGCTTTTTCAAAGTATCAATTTCATTTTAATTGTCTTTAATTTTTTTTTACAAATTAAATATCAATTATGTTTAATCTAAAAGACCTATATCTTCATTTTATATGTTTTCATTTTCTTTTATTAAAACCTTATTTTTTAAAAAAAATTTTTTTTTTTTCTTTTTTTTAATACATTTTAAACAATATTCAATTATTAAATTTAATTTTTTAAAAATAAAATTTCTTATTAACTTTGTTATAATTATTCTTATATTTTTTACAAATTTTCTTTATATTTTTTTTCATTTTCTTATTTTTCTTCAATTTCGTTTATTGTTTATTACATTTTAACTCTCTATTCAATATTGAATTCCATATTATTAGTTAATTTATTGACTAAATTTTCCTTATTTTTTTCAATATTTTAAAATGAAGTATTTAAAGAATGAAATTATCCTCGAATATTCTTATTTAACTTTTATTTCAAAAAAATATTATCCTTTAAAAGTTTACCATAGTAGTATTAATTATCTAATAAGTTTCTATATTTTTACAATTCCTCATTATTTAATACTTTCAAATCATTTAATAAATTTTAATCATTTCCTCCTTAAGAAGTTTTTAATAACTTTTCTATTTTATCGATTCTATATTATTATAATTTAATAATTTATCTATATTAAAGTTCATTTTATTAGAACATTTTCGCAAATTACATGTGTTAAAGTAATTAATCTTGATTTTAGCATAATTAAACGTTACTTTTTTATTCATTTTCTTGTGCTAATTCTAAATAGTAATGACATAACTCTTCACTTTCTTACATTTTCTTATTAATTTCTTAGTAAACTTTTAAAATATTATCATCAATAATAATATTATTATTATTTAGTTCCTAATTTATGTTATATATTTCATTTTTTTATATCGTTTCTCTAAACTTTATATTCTCAATTTTCAACTTCATTAATTCCTAATTCATAAATTCTATATTCTTAATACTATCCTAGTTAATTGTGACTTTGTTTTTTATCAATTTAACCCTTTAAGCGAACTTTAATGTTGACAAAGTTTCCTAAAAAGCCTATTGACAAGGCGAAATATTTGCAATTAATTTTGTTTTGGAATTTCCTCCTAAAGAATCTTTTAATAAGAAGGTTAATTTTGAATCTCGATAATGAATATGTCTATTTTTACCACTTTCTTATTCTACTAAAGAATTAATTACATTTCCTAAAATACTTAATGATTTATTTATGTTACAACCTTCTTTTATCCTTTCAATGTTTTGCGCATTTAATTGTTTTGTTCGTTCACTTCCTGCTAAATCTACAAAACTAAATCTACTATATTTTTTGTATTCTCCACTTTTTTAATGTTGCTTTTATTTTTATAATTAATTTTTGTTTTTTTTTTTTTCTAAATAATAATATATACTGTTTGCTACAAATGAATACAAAATACTGAATGAGAACGAGAAGATTCCCTATTCATTTATGTAAAAGCAACATGACGGTTTTTAGTTCCTGTTTTTAATATGTTTATTGCTGTGTATCTATTCAAAGTTTATATTTCAGTTAATCCATCTATGTAAACACCCTTTATTTTTATATTTTTTATAAATGTAATAATTTTTTATTTTTTCTAACTTTTTTTATATCTTCTCTTATTTAAAGGTTTTTCTCTTAAATATTTAGTAAGTCAATTATATGCTCATTATATATTTCTATGTAACTACACTTTACTAGATAATCAGTATTTTCTTCATTATTTAATTAGTTTTGTATGTACTAAAATAAATAATCAAGTACCCTTGGTAGTATGCCTCTGTGTTCATTTTCTTAAATATTATCTATAATTTTTTATGGTCCTGTTATTGAATATGTTTTTCCTGCACCTGTTTATCCATATGCCAAAATGCAAGTATTATAACCTAATAAAATAATTTTATTTTATTTATTTTTAATAAAAAAAAAAACCTTAAAAATAATTATCAGCTGAAGGAAGGGCAACTTTTGTAAATAATTCTTATTAGTTTGTATATTCGTTTGCTATATAATCAAAAGTAAATAGTTTAGAATTCATTGATTAATGTAAATATATTGTATTTGGATATTATGGTTCCACATTTATACATTGAATTTCATTATCTTGTGTTTCTTGTTCGTTTAAGGGTCTTATCCTAACTGTAACATATATCTATGATTTTTCTGTATAATTTATTTCTCTTATAGTTTGGTTTATACATTATTTTTCAGATTACATTTAAATATTTTTTTATAATTTTTTATTTTATTTTTTATTATTGAATATAAAAATTTATATTAAAAAATAATATAATTTTATAGGGAATACATTTATTTCTTAATTTTAATTAAAATATATAATATTTAAATTTAATTATATATAAATCAAAAAAAAACAATTTATTATTTTAGATTTTATAAGGCTTTTATAAAATAATAAAAATAAATTGCTTGATTCTGAATAATTAAAAATCCAATTTTTCAAAAACTAAATTAATCTTTTTAATTTTGAAATATAAAAAAAACAATTAATAACAAATTTTTAAAAAATTATTTATATATGAACCAAAAGATATTAAGCAATTTTTTTATTCATTTAAAAATAATATGTATTTTTGATTTATAAATAAATTCATATCAAAAAGTACTAGATAACTTATAAACTATTTAAGAAAAAAATTTTATGTATATATTTACATTTAAAAAAATAACATTGAAATTGATTGTGATTAAAATATTTGTAGAGCAATTATTTTATAAAATTAATATTAGAATTTTAGTTATTTTTAGAATTTTAAAATATATTAAAATTATTATCATTTAAAGCATACAATAAATAAATTACATTTAAATAAAAAATAATATTTCAATTAATTATATTTTTAATATAAAATACATTTAAGATTTTGTTTATGTAATTACATTTTCAATATATATTGTTTTAATTAATAATATTAATTATTTATATTTATTAATTAATAAATATATTTTTAATATTTTTTTTTTTTTATATGAATAAAATATATAAATGTAATCATTTTTTTTTTTAAATATATTATATATAGTATATATAATAAATAAAGCTGATTCACAATAACTATTTGTTATCATTCCATATAAACCATTTTCCTTATAAAGCTTATAAGAATTAGTATAATAATTCCATAGGATATTATATACTATAAAGTCCAAAACAATAAAATCTATCATTAAAAACTACATTTTAAGCCATACACTAGAAACCTTTTCTAACGCTTTCATTTATTTTTTCAGGAATTAAACTAGTATTTCCGGTATAATAATGACTAATATATTTATATATAATAGCTTCATCATTAACTAACTTTTCAAAAGCAAGTTCGTAAATACTTTAATTATTAACTTCAATCAAACCATATTCGTTTTTAAAGTTATAAGCTAAATCCCATGCAGGCATAATATCTGTTCTTTAATTAGCTTTTTCCAAATCAAGTCTATATTAATAATAATTAATTAGAGTTTATCCTTCAAATTCAAATATTCTATATGAAGGATTCTAATAAGAGTATGTAGTTGCTGAAGGAGCTATAAATATACTTCCCACTGCTCTTTTTTCACCACTAGAGCTAATAACAGTTTCTATATGGTCATTATGAGTATGTCCTTTTTAAAAAAAATATTAGATTATTAAAACTAGCTAAATAAAATTTACCGAAAAACTATCCTTTGATAGTATTTTCAAATCTATCAATCAAAACTTAATATCTCATAGCCCATAAAGATGAACAAGTATTATCTCCAGGTGGAATATGTCCTATTATTATTACATCCTGTTTATTTTTTTCACTTTCAAATAAAGTTTAATACATGAATTATATTTAACTATTTGGATCTGTATTATTTTAAATTAGGAAAAAATTAAGATTATCACAAACTTAGGTATTAATTGCTAAAATACGTAGATTTAAGCTTTTATCAAATTAAGTATAGTAACCATAATTATATAACGTATTGTAAGCTTCTTCATCTAACCATTATTTCCACATTTCTGCACTTTCTTGTTTTACCCATTTAGTTGTATCATTTTTTATATTTATATCATATTATCCACATGGGTAAAGTTCATGATTTCCAAAAATAGGATAAACAGGAGTTCTCGGGTATATGTTTTTATTAGATTAGTTATTTCGTTTTATGGAAGAGTCTAATTTGTTTTATTTTGATGCCAAACATCATGACTTATGTTATCTCCTGTCCATATAATTGCCTTTATATTTGCTTTTTTCTTAGTGTCTTCTAAAAGAGCTTCTACTGTTCTTAATGGAATGTCACATTTGGCTAATGTTCCCCAATATTTAGCCTTCTTTTTATCATCAAGAGGATATGAACCACTTTCAGGTCTACAACAGAAATATTCAGAACAGTCTGCAAGAGAATTTTCAGTGTATTCTAAGTCAAGATGAATATCGGATAATTGAAGAATGTGTTATTTATTATTTTTGCTTTATTCCTTGTTTGTATAGTTTAAAGGCTTATCTTTTAGAATTTCAGCTTTCCATTTGTTAAAGTCGACTTTTTAGCGAGGATCTTTACAGGCTCTTATATATACACATACATGATTTGATGTTAAATATCGAGAATATAAATTATTTACAAAAGAATCGAAAAAATCTTACATAATGCCATAACAAACCTTTTTTTATTTTTATCATTATATATATATATATTATTTTTTTACGTCTAAATCTAAAAATATATCACATAATTTTTCTGCAAATATACGAAGCCTGTATTTTATTTTTTCGAGTGTACTTTTGTTAAAAATACTGAATATAGATAGACATTTTTAGCAAGTGTCGAATTTTAAGTTAGATGGAAACTTTGGATTTTCTTCAGATATTAATATAAGAAGATGTTCCATTAGCTTTCTTTATATTTAATTTTTCTCATAAGGATCATTATTTAAAATTTTTGTGGTTAAGCATAAAGTAAATAAGGATATTAATAAGGTTAACAATATATTCATTTGTTTATTATTATTTTTTTTATTATTTTTTTATTTTTTATTTTAAATGTAATGTTAATAGTTATAATCTTTTAGATTCTCTAATTATGATTTATTATATTGAATGTATAATTTTTATTTTTATTCTTTTATAAATATAATAAAAATGTATTTTTATAATTTATTTTCCTTTATTTAATTATTTTTTATATAATTTGTTTTAATTGACGTATGTTTAATCTTTTTTTATTTACAATTAATAACAATAAATGTAGAGATTATAGTTTGCATTATTATTTATTATTTATTATATGCATTCTCTTTTAACTTATTTTATTTATACTTCTCATTTAAAATATTAGAATAGTTACATATTTAATTTTAAATATACTTGGTTATTTAATATTACTCTATTTTTTTTTATTATTATTAATATATTTTATATTTTTTATTAGTATATTTTTTTTTTTATATTTATTTATATATTTTACTTAATTTTATATATATATATTTAATATTAATATTTATTTTTATAAATTTTGATATTTTTATTTTTTTTCTATAAAATGATATGATTTTCTTACAAAATAATAATTTATTTACTTGCTTCACATACTGTTTAGTTTGTATTATATTTATATTTTTCTTATTTATTGCTTCCAGTTACCAAAAAAAATTCTTCAATTGGATTAATCATTGGGTTATAAGCTGTTCCAAATATTATATTTATTTCAAAACATTAATTAAGTATGTTTATTTGATAAATTTTAGAATTATTCATTTACAATAGAAAATATTCTGTCATCAATGCTCAGAAATTCTAAGATTTTATAAAACTATTAAAGAACTAAAATCCATTAATTTTTACTTCTATTATTGTACAAATCAATAATAAATTTTATACATGTGTATTATTTTTAGAATAGATTTTTATAAAATGTTATTCCATTAATATATGAATACTTATATAAAATATAAATTTATAACCTTTTATTTTTTTATTTTAATATTTTATTATTTTCTTTGTTTTTTAGGCATTAATATCAATTATATTAATAATAAGTTTTACATTATGTGATTTTTATTTATAATTAAAATATTCAAAATTGTTTTTAAGGAAATTCTACTTAAAGTTATGAAATTCATAATTTTGGTTGTTATATATAAATTAAATTATAGAATAAATTATTCTAAAAATACTAAATACATTTTTACATTCAAACTATTATTGGGATATTTTTTTAAATAATTTATATTTTGATTTAAAAAATAGAAAGAACATCCAATATAAATATTATTAAATGATTTATTACTCTTAAATAAATTAAATATTTACTTATTTTCGTGATAAATTAATAAGAATTATGCTTTAATTTATTTTCAAATATTTATATTTTATATGCAAATTCAATATGTAAAAAAATTTATTCTTATATTTATTTTAAATTATTATATTAATAAAAAAAATTTTAGTAATTTATAAAAAAATGTTATTTATTATAAATTAAAACTAAAAAAAAAAAATATAAAAAAATGATATAAGAATTTATTATTATGATTTGCATTGAAATAATATAGTTAAAAAATCTTAATACTATGAAAAAAAAAAATTAATTATCATTATTATTAAGATTTTTATCATATATTAATATATTAAATATAAATATAAATATAAATATAATATATATATATATTTATTTATATTTTATATTTTTATATTTAACTAATTATTTATCATATTATTTTTTTAATTATTATTATTCATTTTTATTTGTTTTTATGATTTTTTATGTTTTATTTCTTTCATTTATTATAATCTCAATTAATTTAATATATATTATTTATATATATTATAATTTTAATTGGCAATTATTTTTATTATAATTATTATTTATTATTATTTTAAAATAATTATTATTTAAAGTAATTTATTTTTTTATTTATTAATTATTTTATAATTTATATAAATTATTATATATTTATTATCTTTTATTAATATTTAAAATATCTTAATTTAATTATTTAATTTTTGAATACTTAAATTCATTTTTTTTTAAAAAAATATAAATATTTTTATTTTATATTATTTTTTTTTCTAATTTATTTTTTATCAAATTAATCTTTTTTTCAAATCTATTTTAAAAAATAAATATTTTATATATAAAAGCAATTATAATAAGTTTATTTAATATTTCTTTAAAAAATAAAAAATGAAAAATATTATTTTTACCACTTACAATATAAGAAATGTAATGGATCGTTATCAAGAAAGACAATACTTACTAAAAAAGACCATTTAAGACTAAAAAAGTCATATTTTCTGTTTATAAGAAGTTTCTTTTCTTTCTCCTTAATCACAAGTTCCTTTTTTAATAACAAATTGTGATAATTAAGAACTTTATACCTAATATCATGCTGAATTACAAGTTAAATTTCATGAATTACCTCCTCATATAGAGACATATGAATGTAAATTAGACGGAAATACAATACTTGTACAAAAAGGAGAATTTTAAAATGAAAAATTTAGCGTAACAGATGAAAAAATACTTCATTTGAGTGCTTTTAGAGTCTCTCATGCACTAAAATTTGAATAAAAGGATAAAAAAGAGAATTTTTTTTGGGTAGTAAACACTCATTTGCACCATATAGTACCTGACGAAGAAATAAGGTTACATTAATTGTAAAATATATATATATGGCTTTATAAAATAATGGATTTTAATAACGATAACATACTTTTATGCGGGGATTTCAATATGAAACCAATTGAAAAAGGGTATAATTTTTTAAAAAGTCTTAAATTTTAATCTATTTATGAATTTATTCATTAAAATGAACCTATAATTACATTTCCAACAGGATTATAAGCCCCTCATATGGATACAGATCCGGAAGGATGCTATGATTATATTTTTTGGAAAGGAAAAAATATTATCCCTAATAATATTTTTATTATCGGTGATTAATGTTTGGATAGTGATAAGACTATTTATCCGAGTGATCATATGGGTTTAACTGCTATTTTAGATATTTAGTTTTGATTTTTTTTTTTTTTTTTTGTCAAAAAAAATTCATTTTAATTTTTTTTTAAAAAAATAAATAAATAAATTTTATAAGTTTTTTTTTTTTTTTTTTTTTTTTTTCAAAATATTTTTTATATTAAATAAAATGTAAAACTTTGTTAGTTAAAATTAAATAGTCGTTTAAAAAGTTAAAAGTTCACAGAAAGTTTTAGTAAATTAAACTAGAATTAAAAAATCACCAAGTCTTTTTTTAGAAAACAAACCCATTTATATTTAGGAAAAAGTTATTTTTTTTTTTAAAAAAAAAACAAAAATGAACTCTTTTTTTAACAAAAAAAAGGAAAAGTAAACTTAAAAAAATAATTAAAATTAGAAAACAGTTGAATTATGGAATTATAAAAGTGAGAAAACAATATAATTAGAAGAAAAATTTAAAAGTAATAACAATAATGAAGTTTTAGAGTTAAAATAATTGATTGATAAACTAGAAAAAGCAAATTAATAGCTTTAAAATGAAGTTATAAAAAAAAATGAATATATAAGTAATATATAGAATAATTATGAAGAAATATAAAAGAACTTAATGGAAGAAGTTTAAAGATTAAATATTATTTGCAATAATTAAAATGATGATATTAATAATTTAAAAAACTAAAATATTTAATTAAAAAATTAAAATCTTTATTCATTAGAACGTTTTGTTTTATTAAATACTTTGTTTGAAATGAATCGAAATTTATTTTTTTAAAATTAAAAAATAAATTAAATAAAAAATAATTTGATTGCTAAATATAGAAATTGATTTTTTTTTTTTTTTATATTTATAATATATTTAATTTGTTTTTTTAAATATTTTTTAATTTATTTTTTAAAAAAAAATAAAAATAATATTATAAAAAAAATCATATTTTTCTAATTTAGATATTATAAAAAATGGATAGCAATATGCAAGAATTACTTAATTAATTAAAAGAAATTGTACCCAAAAACGGGCTTGTTTTTAGTGAATAGGGAATTAATTAGGAAATTATATGCAAGCCAAAAATTTTACCATTAAAAAGTATTACATTATAAAAATTAGAATAATTAGAAAAAGAGTTTGTCGAATAAGCTAAAAAATTAAATTAAAATTGACTGAAAAATTAAAATATAAATAAAAATGATAATATAATCAAAAAAAGTTATGTTATAAAAGATAATTAATATTATTTATTAGTTTAATATAATAAGATATTTGTGATTTATATAAAATTATATATAATTATATAATTTTATAAAATAAAAATTAATATTTTATATTATATATATATATATATATATATATTAATTTTAAAATATATATATATATATTATTATAAATTCAAATAATTATAAATATTAATATAATAATTTTATTTTGCAAATAAAATATTATTATTATAAATCTTTATAAAGAACATTTTTTTTTAAAAAAAATATAAACTAATTTATATATATATATATATTCAAAAAAAAAAAAAATTATAGAATTGAGAAAACTAAAAAAAATCTAACTTTTTTTTTCTTTTTTTTTCTTTTTTTTTTCTTTTTTTTTTTTTCAAAAAATTAAATAAAAATAATTTAAAAATAAATAAAATTAAGCTATTTTATTAAAATATTTATAAATATTTTTTAATAAAATGAAAAAATAAAATAAAGTGGCATAAGTTCAATAAAATGATGCACCTAATTTTTTTTTGAGTGACTTTTTATAAAATTAAAGAAATCCATCAAGTTATAAAAGTGAAGATGAAAAGAAAAAAAATCCTGAGTTAATATTGGAAACTTTAAAATCTTAATTTTATACACATATATAATAATTAAAGGAATTTCGGTTAATAGAATATTTAGGTTCTTTAAAAAAAGAAGAAGAAAAATAAAAAAATATAGATTAATATTCAGTGATTTTTCAAGAATTAATAAAAAGTATTGATGTTATGTAAAAAATTATTAAAACTTTTAATCTAAAGAAAGATAAGTAAGAATTTGCAAACCGAATTTTAAAGGATGTAGAAAATATGACATAAGTATATACTGAATTAGTTTGTGAATCTAATTTAAAATATTTAGAATGTTGTGCAGAAATATTTAGTTTGAATATTTAAAATATAAGTATAGGATATAAAATAAATTAATGGAATTTATAAATTAAATAATATATATTAAACATTTTTCCTAATTTAAATTAATAAAAAAAATAATATTCTTTACTTTCTTGTATATTTCCATGTTATAAAAAAAACAATAAATGAATTAAGATATATATATAACTATATATATTTATTAAAATATACATAAAACAAAAAAATTCAAATATATGATAATTTATAAATATGTTGTTATTTTGTAGTTTAGAATAATTACATTTATACTTAAAAGTGTCTTATTTATTATAATTAGCTGATTTTTTCGAAATAGATACTTAAAGATGATTTTTGTTAAAATAAATATTAATAGAAATAGATAAATAAGTATTTTATTAACAAATTATTTAAAAGAAACATAAAGTTTTTCAAATCAGATTGCTCATTGTAATAGATAAGAGAAAAAATAAGAATTTGAAGAATAATTACAATGAGAAGTCAGAAATATTTTAGATAGATATTCTTATTCTCTGGAATTGCATATTATCCTCGTGAAATCTCGTGAAATAGTATTCGATAAAATTGATATTTAAATTGCGAAAAAGTATTCTTTTAGCATATATAAAATTTTATAATATTTAAAATAGATAGAAATTTCTAAAATATATATAATATAATTTATAATTTTTATAAATAATTGGTGAATAAAAATAGTGATATTATAAATAAAATATAAAATATAAATACTAAAATTTAAAAAATGAATACTTCTTGATATTTTTAAGAAACAACTTATAAAAAAAAAATAATAAAATATATTAAACTTTATAGAATAATTTTAAAATACTCCTTTGAAATATATTCGATATTTTTGCTTATTTAATATACCAAATTAACATTCATTTTGTTTTTATAAATTGTATGAAAATTTATAATTTATCATTTATTTAATAAAACATAATATTAATAAATTATTAAATTTTAGTATTTTTTAAACTTACATATTATTATAATTATGTTTTTTATTTTTAAAGACAAAAATATTTTTCTCTTTTAATTTAGACTATAAAATAATATAAAATACTTTTATAATTGATAAAAAATAAATAATTGATACTTTTTATAATTAAGTTAAATGCTTAATTTTTTAAAAAAATAAAACTTTTAAATAAATAGATTGATTAAAATATTGTTATTTAAACTAAAAATATAAATATTTAATTATAAAGTTATATCAATCAATAACATAAATTTGATTAATTATATTTTATATATTAAATTTTATAATTTTAAAAATAAACTTACTAATTATTTAATTATTTTGATATACCATTATTATAAAATTTATTTTTACTTTAGAAATTATTTAAAATATCAATCAAAAATAATAAAAAATAATATACAAATTTATTTAATTTTATCAATATATTATAAAATTTCATTTCATTTTGAAAATGAGACTTTAAATAAAAAGATATTAACAGTCTGTTAAAAATCTTTTTGTATAACTAAAATGTGATAATATAGTAAAAAGTATAATAACTTTATTTCAGAATTTTATTACTTAGGACTTTAAAATTATTACTTTATTTTTATATAGAATGCAAGTTTTTTTTTTTTTCAGAAAAATACTCCTAATATTACAAATAATATATTTTTGAATTATTTATTGATAAATATATAATCTTAAGATTATATATAATATTGTAAAACAGGCAACCAAGTATATAATATTTGAACAAAATTATTAAATGAAGGAAAATTTATGTATATGCAAAATTTTTGACAAATCAATTAAGTTTGTTTGAATATTAATTTTAGATATTTAAAGTATGATTTTTTATAATTTTTGAAATATATAAATTAATTTTTTTTTGTGTTTTATACTCATATTATTTTTAAAGCTATTTTTTATTTGTTATTTTAATTTTTTAAGAATTTTCATTATATCGAAAAATTATAGGTAATCTTGTTAATAGAAAATAACTTATTTTCTCTGAAATACTTAACTTTTACTATTTAAAAACAATATAATTTAACTATATATATCCAATAATAATTTAAATTTTAGACTAATTACTTAAATGAAAAAAAATTAATTATATATAAAGAATCTATAATTAATTAGATAAAAAATAAAAAATATTTTTGTTAAAAAAAAAAAAAATGAAATATATTTATATATATATATCTATTTATAAAAGAATCTTCAATATACATTATTTTATTACATATAAGAATTCCATTTATTAACAGGTCCTTTATTTTAGAGAAAATCACAAATTTGTTTAAAGCTAGAGTTTTCTAATTATTTTTTTTTTATGCATAATCATATGGAGTTCTCTTCTTAAAATCTACAGGATCAATTTCTGCTCCATTTTAGACCAAAATCTTAACGAAATCAATTATTCCATATTTACATGCATAATGCAAAGCAGTTCTATATTTTATGTCTTCCATTTAATTTAAATCAACGCCGTATTTAATTAACAAATTAAGAGTTTCTTTTGGTGGATCAACAGCAAAGAAACGACTTGTCTTGCATAAGTCAATTAAATAGTTATTTTCTTGTTAATTTATTTGATATCCATTTTCTAAAAAGAATTCAATAACTTCATCAAATCTTAAGTGTAATATAGATTCAAATGCTTCCTATATATGTCCTCTAAGTAAAGGCAATACATCAGAGTTTTAGTTTATTAGTATTTCTAATTATTCTAATTCTTCATTCTTTGAAAGGTAAGATATTTTATTTCCTATTTCCATTATATAATCGAATTGTTTTTTGTTTGTTTAACATATTTAATCCAACATATCTATTGTTTTATCCATAGGAATATCAAATTCAAACGGCTTTATATCTCTAAAAGCTCTTCTTTATTTAGAATCATAAGTAGTTTGATTATTTGGTTGTATATCTTTTACTTCTGTATTCATTTTTTATTTTTTTTTAAAATTTAAAAATATGTATTTTATAAATTTTGTAATCTTTTTTTCTAAAAAAAAAGAATTTAAAAATTATAAAAATGAAAAATTTATGAGTTAATATTTTTTATATGTTAAAATAAAAATATTATATTATATATGCTTTGTATTTATTTTATATAAAATAAATCACTATTATATATCTTTATATTCTTTAATACTATATTAATTGAGTTATTAGTTGCCATTATTAAATTCTTCTGGATTTGCATAAACACCAGGAGTATCTTATTAATTACCATATTTACTATTTCTAACTTCTTAATAAACAATATTATTTCCACCAACAAGATTATTTGCAATGTTATTATTAATATAGCTTGTTTGTACCTAATCTAAAGGTTGATAGCTTGTAATATTTTCTTATTTTCCAAAAGTAAGAGGAACATAATCATTAAGAGGTCCAGTTTGGCTATTTTTAATATTTCCGCTTCTTTTTACTACTTCTTATTCTACAACAGGATAACTAATAGGAGTTTAAACATTATAATTACTATTGTAAGCATACTTATCAACATTATTATTTAAGAATAAAGGGTTTGATTATTAGACATTTGTATTAATTACAGCTTATTAAGATACATATGAAATAGGTTGATATTCAGTCAAAGGTTAATAGCTTGTAGTTAAAACTGTTTAATAATTAGTAGAAGGAACTTAATATGTATTTGTAAGAGGAGGATTATATTATTAATAAGCAACTTCTTCTGATTGTTTTTTACTTCTTTTTACTTCGTCTTAAACTGTTTAATATTATATGGTAGTATTGTCATTTTTTATCTATTGACTTATGTAAGCTGGAGAATTATTATATCTAGCAACTGCATCTCTGCTCATTTTTAAGGCAGCTTCTATTCTACGATCCATTTCTTCATCAGAAATGTTGAAATCTTAGTGATTTTGAACAGCATTATTAACTGTATTTTGAGACTAAACTACTTTAATAATTTAAATATTTTCTGTCTTTCTTACTTTCACATATTCATCATTATTTAATTCTTATACTAATTCGTCAAAAGAAGGTCTTTAAGCTTCACTTTCAGAAAGCATTTTTTACAAAATAATAAAGAGTCTTTCAGAATAGCTGATTCGTGTTTTTTAAAGCAAGTTATTTACTTGACTTTAATTCAAAGCATAGTCTTATTTAGAATAGCAGGTTTCAGAAAAACTTTCTAAAGTTGCAGCTTCGAGTACAGTAGCTGCTATTGAGAAAACGTCTCCTTTCCAATTATCTAAAGAGACATTTGTAGATACTTTATTTATAGTTTAAAGATGTTAAGGTGACAAATAAAAATCTTAGCTTGCACCAATTTATATTTAAGCTACAGCTGGCATCTTCTTAGTAGCAGAAAATTAGTCACCTAATTTTACTTATCCATTGTTTGTCAAAAGCACGTTGTAGGGTCTTATATCGCCATGAAAAACGGCTTTTGTTTTTAAGTAAAACGCTGCACTTATTAAACTGTCTAATAAATACCATAATTCACCTTCTTAGTAATTGTAATGTATTTTTTAGCGTTCTAATATTTCGTTTTTTAAGTTAATGTTTAAGTATTCATATAAGAAATTTATTTTAAAAAAGGAAGAACAGAAATCAGTACTCTTTTAAGAATTATAGTTGAGAAGTTTAACTATATTAGCATGGCTTAATTGCTTGCGGAAAAAAGCTTCTTAAAGTTAGGCATTCCATTAGGCTTATTCGGTTAATGTATTTTAGATTTGGGCATAGAGTTGTTAAGTTAATTTTTCCTTTAATATAGTTGCCTTTCCATATCTAGAGTCGGTCAAAATTTCCTTTTATTCGAAATCTTTGGGCTCAAAAAGATTTTAATTGAGATTTTGGTTGTTTGCTTGATTTGAGTTTCCCATTTAAATTTTATTTTTAAGTATTTTATTTATTTTTTATGGAAATTAATTATATAAGTTTTTTTTTTTAATTTATTAATATTAATTAATAAATATATTATTTATTAACTTTTGATTTAATAAAATTCAAAATAATTAAAAAAAAAAAATTTTATTTGTAATTTAAAAAAATTATTTTTATTTTGTTATATTTTTTTCATAATTAACCAATAGAAGTAATAACATTTATAGTTTTAACCTTTTAATATAAGTCAAAAAATTATAAAAATATAAATAAAAAAAAATATATTAATGTATAAAATAAATATAAAAATAATAAGAATTATAAATATATAAAAAAAATATATATTTAAAAATAAATAAATATATTAAATAATTATAAATAAAATTATAATATTTAATATATAAATATATAAAATAATATATATATAAATATAATATATATATATATTATATATAAATATATATTTTTACTTATTTTTTAATCCTTTTTAAATATAACCTAATATAATATAAATTATTACATATTTAATTTATTTTTTAAATATTAATATTTTAATCATAATGACTTATTATAAATATTTATATAATTTATATATATTATTACATTATTTTTATATTAAATTTTTTTATAATAATTTTAAAATAATTATCTAATTTTTTAATATTTCTTAATATATAAATGCTATTTATATGTTTTATTTATTATATAATTAATTAAAATTATACTTTATTTATTTTTTAATATATAATATTAATTTTAATTATTCTAATATAATTATAATATATATTTTAGTTATTATAATTATTTTATATTAATATTTAATATTTAATTTTATAAATAATCTCTTTATTTTTAATTAATTTTTTTATTTTATTTTATTTTGTATTATATAATTTTTATTTTATTTTAGATTTTTTTTATAAATAATTTTTTTATATTTAATATTATTTTTTTATTTATTTAAGTTATTTTTTTTTGTTAATATATTTAATATATATTTATATATCTTTATATTAATAAAAATATTATTAAATTTAAACATATTTCATATATAAAATAACTTTTGTATATATGATATTTATTTTTTCAGTTAAAAATATTTAAATAATAATATTTATATTTTAATTAATAATTATTACATAAAAATGGGAGATATTAAAGACACTAAAATTAATGGAAAATATTTAATTGGATAAAAGCTTGGTTCTGGATCTTTTGGAGATATATATTTAGGTATTTTTTAAAATAAATTTATATAAAAATAATTAATTAAAGCTACAAACATAGAAACCATAGAAATAGTAGCTGTTAAATTAGTAAATATTATAAAAAATTATATATAAAATACTAAATTAATAAATAAAGGAAGATTGTAAAAGTAAATAGCCACAATTACTTTTCGAAGCCAAAATAATGAAAGCATTATAAGATAAAGGTTAAATATATTATTTTTTATAATTCTATATATTAAAAGTTGGTATTCCTAAATTATATTGGTTTGGATAAGAATGTGGTTGTAATATAATGATAATAGATTTATTAGGTCCATCTTTAGAAGATTTATTTAATTTATGTAAGAGAAAGTTTAGTTTAAAAGCATCAATTATGTTATTTGATTAATTAGTAAATATTTTATTATATATTTAATGTTTTTTATAAATAAAAAGGTTTAAAGAATTGAAACTATTCATTAAAAAGGATATATTCATAGGGATATAAAACCAGATAATTTTTTAATAGGTTTGGGAAAGAAATCTAATTTAATTCATATTATAGATTACGGATTAGGCAAGAAATTTAGAGACTCAAAAACACATTAACATATTCCTTATAGAGAAAACAAAAATTTAACAGGTACTGCAAGATATGCATCTATAAATGCACATTTAGGAATAGAGTAATCTAGGAGAGATGATTTAGAAGCATTAGGATATGTATTAGTATATTTTTTGAAAGGATATTTACCTTGGTAAGGAATAAAAGCAAATAATAAATAGGAAAAATACAGTAAAATAATGGAAAAAAAAATGTCTACTCCAGTAGAAATATTATGTAAAGGATTACCAAGTTAAAAATTAAAGATAAAACAAAACAAAAAATATAAATTAAAAAAAAAAAAATATAGTTGAGTTTTCTACCTATTTAAATTATTGTAAATCTTTAAGATTTGAAGATAAACCAGATTATTTATACTTAAGAAAAATGCTAAAAGAAATATTTTATAAAGAAAATTATGAATGGGATTTTATGTATGATTGGTGTTTACCTATTGGAGTTAAATTATATATTTTTTTGAAATTAAAATCTTTCTATATTTTATAAAGGGAGAATAAATAAGTAATTATTAAAATGGAAAAATTACTATTTCTATTAATACTGGTCCTCCTGTCAATTAATAATAAATTTTAAATATGAATTCAGGTTATATTTATAATTTTTTAGTTAACTAATAACATATATTTAAATTAATTTATTTGTTGTAATAAATAAAAAGATTATAAAAACTAAAATGATAAATTAGAAGTATTCATGAAAAATTAAAATAATAATGAGAACATAAATAGTACCCCTGTTAATGTCAATGATAGTTATTAATAACATTCTGATATAATTAATCAAAAAGATTATAATTTGCAAGATTAACAAACAGTTAAATAAAAAATGGTTTCAAATAATTAGACTCTTATACCAGAATAAGATATTACTCTATTAAATGAAACCTATAATATAGAATATGGAAATTATATCCATTAAAATATCACAGCAGGAGATTATGATGATTATTAGAATTAATTAGAACCTTAATACTATGATTAATATAATAATACTTTGTCCGATAATCATTAAACTTGAGAAAATACTAAATTCGACAATTAAATTAATATAGAAAAAAATAAATATTGTAAAAATATTAATATATTTAACAAACTCAGATAAAAATATAGAAAAAAAATATTTAAATAAAATAATTAATTTTAAATTTTCATTATTATTTTTATAAATTGAAGGTCTTTTATTTTAAAAAGAAATAAAGTTAAATTAAATTATCTATTTTTATATAATAATAAATATCCAATAATAACAGAAGTAATTATTTTTAAAAATATAATATGTTTTCTATAAGTCTATAAATTAATTTATTAAAGTATACATAAACTATCTATTATTTATTTTAAATACAAAAATAATTTATTTCATAATATTTTCTTTTACATAATAAAATTTGATGATATAATGTATATAATATGCTGAAATTTTACGTTGATATGACATATCATTGCTATTCATGTCAAGAAAAGAAAAATTATAAGTTTAAATATTATATTTTTTATAATAAAGATTTATTTTTTCCCAATAAATATAATTTTATATATTTGTTAATAATTTTGAATATTAAAAATTACTTAAATACTAAATATCTAAATTGCATTATTTATATTTAACATTTTATATAATAAATTACCCCTTATTATTAATTAAACTTTAAAAAAAAAATATATTCCAATATATAAATTTAATTAAACTATGATTTTTAATTTTACTAATAACCTTATTTATAAAAAATCCATAAGTGTAAATATATATTTTTGAACCATTTCCATATAATTTCCTTATTTTTAACTTAGGTAAATAATAATTTAACAGCTAAAAAATTATTTATACAGTAAATTTATTTATTTTATTTATAATATAAATAAATAAATTATTACATTATTTTAAATACTTTTATTCTTATCACATTAACCAATTACTTTTATATTAATCACAATATGAATTGATTATCAATATTATATTTTAAAATAAACTCTAAATTTATATATTATTAAGTAATATTATAAATTTTTAAATTTTTTTTTTATTTTAATAAATAATATTAATAACATATAAAACTTAATTTAAAAATATTTTTTTTAATAATACATTTAAATATATAGTATAATTGATTTATTTTATTTTTTATATACTTTTATAAAAATAAATATATTTTTTTAATATTATGAAAAAAATTACATATAAATATTATAATAATAAATATTAATTTTTAAAGACTATTTTAAATATTTATAATCGAATAATTAGTAGTTTTAATATTAAATATAAATGAAAAATTTATATAAATTGAAACAAAATAATTAATAAAATTTCAATATATTAATATTTATAATTATATAGAAAAAAAATTGCTATATTTATATATTTTATATTTTTAATAAATATATAATTTATATATATATATATAAATTAAATATTATTATATATATATATTTTAATATATATATAATATATATATATATTTATATATATATATTATTATATTTTTTTTTTTTTAATTTTATTTTTATTTATTTTAAATAAAAATTATGTATCTTATTAATATTAAAGATATTTTTTTTATTTATTAAAAGTTATATTTAAATTTATATTTTATTAAAATTAATAATTAGATTTTTTTTTTTTTATAATAAATGCATTTTATACTAAAAATAATTGTATTAAAATTAGCTTGTTCTCAACATATACCATATAAAATATTTTTATTTATTTTTATAAAATAAATAAATTTATCTGTTAATTTTTATCTTTTTAAATTTTATTTATTATATTTTATTGTATATTAATTTTATAAAAAACAAAAAATAAAAACAAAATAGATATTTAATGTTATATTTTATAAGATTAATTTAAAATATTTTTTAAAGAATTTTTAAAATTATACTGAATGCTAAATATAATTAATAAATATTTATTAAATCTTTCTTAATTTATTGGATAATTTTTTTTATAAATAAAATGGTATTAATAAAACATAAAAAAACTAATATATTAATAATATAAAAGGTTAATAATACTTAAATATAAAAATGTATATTCCAATGTATTTTTTTTAATTTTATAAAAAAATATTATTAAAATTATTTTTATAATATAATTAAAGGCTAATGAAAAAAAATTATATTTTCTATGTAAATGAGGCTTATATATTTGCAAACTGAGATATATCAAGTATTTTTAATATAAAATAAAATATTAAAAATTTGATTTTATTACCTTTAAATAGATTTAAGCAAGGAGATAGAAAATATACTTATTTAAATTAGAATGTATATGAATGAATGTGGAATTATCATAATAAAAATGGTAAAGGAGAAATTATATAAGTAAAGAAAATATGTAAGATAGATAATGGAAAAATAATTAAAAAATGTTGAGATGGAATATATAAATTTTATATAGCTTTATTTTTTTTAGCTAAAGATATTCAATATTATGAATTTACTAAAGGATATGTTTATAAAGGAGAATGGAAAATAACAGAACAAACGGATTGGTAGAGCTGTTATATTAAGACAAAAATAAATATGAAAGAAATTGGGTTTAAGATAAAACATATGTAAAAGGAACTATGAGATATTTATTAATGAAAATTTTTTTAAATATTAAATAAAACAAATATATACTAATATAATTGGGAAAAAAAAAAATATGGAAATATATATTTATATTAATGAGGAAAAATACGATGGCGAGTTTTAAGAATATTTTCCTCATGGAAAAGGCATTATAATTTTTATAAAATAGTACTTTAATATTTACTTTGTATAAAATAAATAAAATATCTAAACAGAAGATAGATATGAAGAAGATTTTTTTCAGGGTAAAATGGATGGATATGGTGTTTTATATTTTGAAAATGGTGATGTCTATGAAGGTGAATGAAAAAAGTAAATATAAAAAAGAAGGCTTACATACTTATATATGATTAAAAGATGAATACAAATATTTAGGTAATTGGAAAATAGATTAAGAGGAAATTAATAATAAATATTCATAGAAGTATTTTGAATTATATATAAAAAAAAATATTAATTGATATTATTTTATTTTTTTAATATTAGTAATATGTAAGATAAATGAATAAAAAATCAAACGTAAGGAAAAAAAGAGTTTTTTTAAAATAAAAATGGATAAATAGAGATATTTATAATAAAAAATATAAATATTAAAAGAGAAAAAATAAAATATAGAAATTAAAATAATAAATAAATAAAATATATAATAATTATTTATTTCAAGAATAAACAATAAAAATTAATATAATTTTTCTTTTATAAAAATACTAATATAGATATAAACTATAGTTATAATTATTTATATATTTTTATATATTTTCTTTATAAATATAATATATTTTATATTTAATTATTCCTTTATTTAAAATAATAATTATTTTGTCAATTTTTTTTCAATCATCACTAAGAAGAATACAAGTTCCTGATAAAATCCATTTATTAGGATCTGAATCTTCACTTTCCATATTTAAATTAGCTTTGAAAACATAAGTTTAACCTCTAGCGGATGTAACATAAACAGGACATTCGTATTATCCAGCAGTTTTCTTTGATGCAATAGGAACTGCAATAACATTAACAACAGGCAATCTAGGATGTAATTCTTTTGGTTTTTATTCAATAAGATAGCCATCTTAACCTTATCCACCTAATTCCCATGCTGCTCCTTCTAAGAATAAACCATGTATATAAGCTCCGTTTTCAGCAGTATTTACAACATCTTCGTGGCTTTTCATAGAAGTTACATTTGTTTAAACTGCAATCTATTATTTATTAAAATTAAAAAATTAAAATATGACTATTTATATATATATATATTCTTACACCATCCAAAGGTAAACCTTTAGCTCTAGCAGTATATTACATAATAGCAGTTAAATAAGACATAGGATTGAATAAATAAGTAATATTTAAAGAATTAGGTGTTTATAATTCTTTTGACCATTCTGATAATTAAAGATTTCTTTCTATAAGATCAGCAAACCACATAAATAGAGGTTTTTTAGAAAAGTATGCCTTAGCTTCCCAAGAAGCAGGAACTTTATTAAAAGATAAAGATTATGCTAAACTTTCCATTGCATCGGTAATGTTAAGAGCTCCTGTAAGGCCAAGCCTTAAATCTTCAAGAGATGTTTTAATTTCTTTAAGAAGTCCGTTCATTCTTTCACATTCTTATAAACAAACAACTATATAAGGAGTTTTTTCCTTTACCCTTTCTTCAATTAATAACATGTTGAAGTCTGGAGGACAACGTGCTTTGAAGTCCATAAGAGTTCCCATTACTCCATCGTCTTTTTTCGATCCTCCACTTGCTGCTCCTCCTTATATTTCAAGGATTGTGGAAAATACTTAATCACAAGCAGCTGTCAAATAACCTATTTCGGCATTTGGATGCATACCATACATTTAAGGAGTTTCAATTGGTAATTTTTCTTCAATGTATTTTGAATAAGCAGAATAATCAAACTTTGATGCATCAGGCGATTTAAACAAAGGAGCTAAGTTGAATGTTGGCTATAGTAATTCAGGTCTAATAAGCACTAAAAGATAAGTTCTATTTGTTCTTCTATCCCAGTCCTATTTTTTTATTTAATAAAAATATACATTTTTATATATATAATAAATACATCTGTAATATGTCCACCATACATAATTTCACCAAAAATATATCTTAAATCATCCCATGGTACTTAGTCATATTTAGAAAGATAATTAAATAGTACATTAGCACAAATAGTAAGATCACCATCATTAAAATTATATACTCTTGACCAACCTTAGGTACCGAATTTCTTTCTTCCAAGCATAAGACTATGGAAGAAGCACAAACCAAACAAACAAGATTTAAATTCTAGAGGTTTTTTATCACATTTATCCAAGAATTCTTAGTCGAATTTGCTAAAAGCACGTCTTAAGTTTGCCTTTAAGAATTAAGGTGCTTCATTTGCGCATTTAAGGGATGCTTAAAGGATTGATTCAGGTATAATTTACTGTAAAGGAAGTAGAACATTTGGAGGTTCGGAGGAAATAAAAACTCTGAAATTAGGATGTGTTTTGGGGTTTGCGAAAACACTTTCAAGGAAACCTTCTAAACCATTTAGGCCATAGAGCCAACTTTACATAAGATGTACATTTTATAACATTAGCCAATATCCTTTTTAAGCACAATCGAAAACAGCTTTTTTAGCTCTGTCTTCTTGTCCTTATCCCATAGAAATATTAATAAAACGACCATTATTAGATGAAATGTCATACTAAGCAGCTACTTTTTCAACATCAGGAGTAGGATCAACACCTGGGAAAAGTACGAAGAAAATAGGAATAGTTTTAATAGTTTCAGAAAATGTATCTATAATATTAAAGGGAGGCTATTCAATGAATCTTTCTCCCATTTTATCTGAGACGAATTAACTTAAAGCTGAAGGTAATCTATCAGGTCTTAAAGCTCGGAGAAGTAATAATTTATAAAATTTATTTAACTCTTTGAATGCTTTCGGTAAATCTGCTAATTCAGCTTTTTCTTCTTGATACCATTTTCTCCATTATAAGACATCGGTTTCTAGAGATTAACAAAATCCTTAGAAATGAACTATTGTTTCTAAAGCTTTACATGCAGCCCAAATACCTTCGGTTAAGAAAGATTTCAATTAATCAGGAATAGCACCAGGATTAGGATCTACTTTTCCAATAATTAAATGGTTTACTTCAGCTTCTTCTAATTCTCCTGATCTTAAGAGAACTCTTAGACATAACATTACTGCAATAATGAGTTTATGAGTTTCAAATGTACCTCTTCTTGTGTATTAATAAGCAGTGTAAGTAAGAGATTCAATTAGTTCTTCTACACGTTTTTTTAATGAACGAGGACTCATGGGTTCTTCGCCTTCATCTCCTTTAGCAGCTTATTTAGGTGGAGAAGCACCTTCTTCGTAGTTTTCTTATTCTTCTTCTTTATTTTCTCCTTCTTCTTCCCCTTCTTTTTTATCACTTTCTTATTCATTTTTTTATTCTTGTTCAACTGCTTCGTCATTTTTTTCGGTTTCATGGGCTTTTTCCGGCGAAGCAATTTCATCGTTAGGATTATATTCTTCTCCTTCTTAAGAGAATGGAATCATATTGTTTTTACTGTATAATTTATTTTCGGATATATTATCAATAGCTCTATTAATTACAATAATGAAAGATTCAAGAGAATATTTATAGAATGAATGTATTTTAGGCAAATCACTCAGCATGAAATAAAATAAAGCACCTCTAGATGCGGCAGGTCTATAATTTTCAGATGTTTCATTTATTCTGGCTTCTGTAATTTTAGCCGCAGCGACTTTTTCTGCAATTTCAACTGAAAGTTTTTTGGAGTATTCTAAATTTTCAATAAGAGCAATATCATCTAAAATATCTCCTTTTGCATTTGCTAATTTGAAAAGAAGCTCATCTTCTAAATCTTTCAATTTGATTTTAAAATCGTTTTATTGAGTAATTAATTCGACTTTCTTTTTAGCTAAATCGGGTCTTTCTCTTGCAACGACTAAAGATAATAATTAATCTCCTAAACCAGCTTCTGTTACTGTGAAATTAATAAGAGCTGCTTCAGCTTATATCTCAGGAGGATAATGAGGATTAGAAAGCTTTGTATGTAAGAAAAGCTTGAAGTTATTATGCAAAACGAGGTCTTTTCCTGCAAATTTAATGATTTTATTCTTACCTCTTTTAATAAATGAACGAGCAATAATAGGCATTAAAATAGCATCTACGCGTTCTGACATATTTTCAATAATAGCCGAATAACCATTTTCTATAGACATTTCTAAATCTCTGTTTATATTCTTAGAACCAAGTCTTAATATTTTCAAGCTATTATTTTTTTCTTTTTCACGAATCCAAGTAATTCCTTATAATTAAGGATCTATCATAAGTGAATACCTAGCAGAATTAGTAAGAATAGTACCGTTTTCAATAGATACAGAATCTGAAGGTAGTTTTTATTTATTCCACAAGGCTATAGTGGATTCGTTTGTTAGAATTTTTATCGGATCAGGATCTAATGACATAGGAATTACATTTTCTTTCATGAATTTTACGAAGTTTTGGTTTATCATTATGTTTCTGAATTTCTTGTTGAAAGGTCCTGCGTAAGAAACAAATGAAGATGCAATAAGGACATCACCAACAATAAGTTAAAGTTAATCATTAAGAGCAATAATTGATTTACCCCATCTTTCGTTTTCACTTGAGAGAGCTGTAACTAATCTTTAGGCTAAATTAAGTCTTCTAGCGCACCTTTCAGCTTCGTTAATAGCAGCTTCCTTTTCACCAGCAGCTTTATTATATTCAGCAGTCAAGTTAGCTAATTAAGCATTTAATTAAGCGACTTAATTTTCTACTTCAGCCAATTTAGTGTTGGCTTCTTCTAATTATTCTGTAGATTCCTTCAAAGCTTTACGTTTAGGTTCTACGTCTTAAATAACATCATTATATTTAACAATATTAATAACCCAAGAACACACTCCTCGAGCTGCACCAGATTTTGAAGCCATCTATTCTGGAGTAAAAACAGGCATGGAAATATATTAGTTTTTGACTATATTGACATTTGTTTATGGTACTAAATTCTAGTCTACAATATCTTTGAAACCTAGTAATTTTGTTAAAAATTCTTCTGGCGATTTCATCATTTTTAAGGCTGCTTTCCAATCTACTGCTTTTGGTTTTTTGGTTTTGTCAATTTCAATTGCTTCAGGGAAAAATCCGGCTAATAAATACATTGTCGCAGCGAATACTTCAGGCACTCCTGCAGGTGGATTTGCCCATGATTTTGCTGTTCTAAAATCATCTTTTTTAATCGAATCTAAAGCCTATTTGGCTTATTCTATTAAAGGCTCAGCTGCCCTCAAATCAGCTTCAGTAGATGTTTTCTTTTCTTCGACATCTTATTTGATTACAGCGCATTTTTAGGCTTCGATTTAGGCCTTAGTGTTTTCGATCTCTACTTTGTCTTTTTCTTTTCCGACTACTTCTGCAAATGCATCTGCTTCCTTTTTCTTAGCTTCGGCTTCGACTTGCTTTTCTTTTACTTCAACCTCAATAATGGCGACTTATTCGGCAGTTTCTTTTAATTTAACAAGACCAGTTTCATATCTTTCTTTATTTTTTTCAAGAATATCTCTCTTTTATTGTAACATATTTGTAAACAAACTAATTAATTCAAGGAAAGATTTAGGTGTAGTATAAGCATGTCTTCTTTCTTATTCGAGTAATTTTAATCCTAAATCATTAACCAATGAAAAACTAAAAGGCATGAATTTAACGACTGCATCTCTTACTTTATCAGCACCCAAATCAACTGGTTCCAAAAAGGATTTGGCTACATTAAAAAGTGCCTCTTAAGGCCAAGGTTAATACCAATCAATAACTGTGCAATTTACAAGTGCAGGGAATTAACGAGCACGTCTTCTCATATCTCCCACTGGAGAGAAACAAATAGCCATATGGAGATTTTTCTTTACTGAATTAATGAACCAGTTCCAGCAGTTTTCTCTAGTGTCTGGAATACCATCGCTTTTAACTTTTGGTCTTACTTAGTTTATCATTGCTTCTTTTTCATCTTATGTATATAATTCGGATATTTCACCTGATGATAATAAATCGTTTATATATACGAGGAAGCGCTCGTTTGTTATCTATCCTTCAGTGAATAAGAAGAGCATTCCTTCTTCTTTAGGTCCACTTTTGAAATATAATTGTTATAAATCAGTACGCAAATCTACCATTGAATACGTTGCTGAAATTGTAATTGAAAAAGTAGTGTAACCCATAATAAATGAGGATAGTTTAGATAAAGATTATTTACCAGAACCTCCTACACCGACAAGTAATGCGTGTCCACTCGAAGGAAGTACTATACGGCAAATTCTACATACATGCTTCATTGCGTCTTCGAAAAGTACAAGACCCATAATCGCATTATTATCATTATATTCTTTTAATGCTTCAGAAATATGCTTTTCCATATCATTGTTTGGCATTTAATCATAGAATCTATCAGAGTTTATACCTTAAGTAAAATTGCAATAAATAAGATTTTCAGGATTTTATCCGAAATATCTTGAAAAATTAAATTTGGAGAAAGATTTCTTTACAATATCAGATATGTTTTCTTTATAAGTTTTCAAGTTATCTACAGAAACAAGTCTATCTCCGTAAGTTCTCTCACATTCATGAATCCATAATTTAATTAATTTATCAGGTTCTTAATATCTATTAGGATCTGAAAGTAGTAATCCTTAGAAAATATTAGACATATGTCTCAAGTTGAATTCGTAATGGAAATTAATAGCCGTTTTTCTGAAATTCATAGTAACAGCTTAATGAAGTAAAAGAGAGGCTCTTACGATTATATTAGAGTATTCTTAAATTGTAGATTTGAACCTCTTTAAGTGTCCATTAAGGAATGTAATATAAATAAGAGACAAAGATTCGTTATCAGGGAAAGGAATTGATACAGTCCAGAAATGTCTCTAATACCTCAAATTTACATAGAATGAACCTGCGGAAGGATTCATAGCAGCTAAAACTTAAGTATTAATAATATCTTTAAGAGCTAATTTGCCTATGTCATAGAAATGTCCATAGTCAGCCATTTGTCTTAATAAAGCAATAGCGGTTTGAGTATCATAAGGATCGAGTTAGGGCATGTTAAGATCATCGACGAAGTAAATTAATTAAACTTTACCAGGAGGACCATATTATCTACCAGCTTTTTTTTCAAGTGTTTATTCAATTTATCCTTATAAATAAGGAGAGTCAGTATAATAATTAAAGTTAATTAATTGATAGGCATATAAATCAGGTTTTGCTTAAGCAATTTCTTTAAGGATACCTTTAGCTAATTATGTTTTACCACAACCAGAGTTACCTATCAATAAAGAAGGATGTTTTACCATTAAATAAGATTTAATGAAATCCGAAGTAGCTACAGTTTCAATTGTATTGACAGTAATATTACCCATAGTTTCGGTTTAGGGATCAAATTCTTTATTTTGTAATTTTTTATTCCATTCTGTAAATTTGGAAGAGTCTCCACTTTAATCAACATAATAATCAAAAATAGTTCCTTTTCCAGGAAATTTTACTGCTGTTTTCCAAGCTCCTTTCCACCAAGTAGAAAAGTCTTTTCTGTAATCAATTGAGTCTTTTTCAGCTAAAGCTCCTCCTACAGCCCATATAAGTGCATAAACGAATAAATATTCTAAGTTTTTGACTTCTCCTTTGAGTAAAGTTTATAAAGCCTTACAAATAGAAACTACTTATGACATAGGAGATACAGGCACTAAGAATCTGCAGTGTTTTTTAATATGATCTAATGTATCGGGAACAAATTTCATGAAAAGTTAATCTAAGTTCTTTTACATTTCAGCATCTGAAGGGAATTCTTATTTAATCCAAGATTTTACATAAGATCTCCATTAATAACCACCTTCATCAGAAATATAAAGAATACCAGCTCTTGATACAGTAGCAGGTGTAGCAAAACGTAAATCTCTAATTTCGAAAATTGCTCTCATATGAGGCTTTAAAGGAATACGCTCATTATTTGCCAAAGTTAAAATCTTATTATCGTCCATAACTGAGTTCATGGATTCAATCCAATTTGCATCCAAATCACCATCTAAAACTATCCATTTTATGTTCAAATCTGGAGTTTCGGCTAGTGTACGTAACATTTTTGAGAAAAGACCATCTTTCCATTCTTTAGATGGTAAATTATATCCGTAGAAATCTTTTGTTGATACAACTTTAGGATCCATATCAACTAATATTGTTTTCTTATTAACTTTATCTTAAGATTTAGCTAAAATTTTCCATGTTGAAGATTTACCAGCAGCAGGGGGTCCCATAACAAACACACAATGTCTAATAGCTAAGAGTTCTCCAAGTTAAATAACTTTAAGCACAAATTCAGGAGATGGGTCAAGTTTATTTTCTACACAAACATCACATACAACTTTTTCAAAAGCCAAATCTTTTTTAGGTTTGACATCGATTCCAGGGAACAAATCACCCAATAAACCGTGGAAAACATATAAATCTTAATATGCAATTTTAGGAATATTGAAATCTCTTAAAGCTCTCATAAGTAAAGCTTATTCAGAAATAGTAAGTTCACTTCTTTTGAAACCACCAGCCACGACAAGTACTGATTTAATTGCCCTTAAACCCCAATCGTAATGCAATTATTTAGATAGCAAATCTCTGCACAACATATATAAAGTAACGAATTTCTTCGCAAGAATCTTAGCTTCTACAAAACCTTCTGCCATAAGCATATTTTCACAAATAAGTTCCAAATCAGGAACAACAACTGTAATGGGTCTGAAAAGTGCTTTTAAACCTTCAGGTAATTCCGCACGGCCTAAATAACCTGGGTTCATAGTAATGAATACACCACAAGTAGGATCAAGTGAAATTTCATCACCTTCGAGCATGAATCTTTCTGCTCCTTATTTAATTGCATCAGTAACAGCTTTAAATTATACAGAACATACGGAAAGTACTTCAGGAAGTAATCTATTGAATTCGTCAAAACAACCCCAGCAACCACTAGAGGCTAATCCTTTATAGATATTACCCATAGATTCATAGTTCATTTCAGATGAACAGTTAAATACATAGCATGCTTTAGCTAAGGCATTTGCTAAATCTTTTGTTGTTTCTGTCTTTCCAGTTCCAGCAGGACCAGCAGGTGCGCAACCCATCATCAAATGTAAAGCTTAAGTAGCAGTGACATAAATACGATCAGTAAGAGGAGTGATAACCAAACGAGGGCCATTACCTAAATATTCATAAGAATAAACAAATCTAGCATCAGCGATTCTAATTCTGGCTTCTCCATCCCAATAAAACTTAAGTTGAGATTACCATTGGAATTCTTCTGCTTTTCTAACGTGTTCATTAATAAGACGAATGACAACATCTCTGGAGTGTGTATCAATAGTAATAAGACACATAATTTTTTAACGCAAAGGAACTGATAAATCTCCTTGGACCATCTTAATTAATCCTGTAAGTAAATTAATTGATTCATCTAAATAATTCTTCATTGCATTAATATCACCTCCTTGTAATTTCAAGAAAACATCTTCAACAGCTTTGCAGTAAATAATATTATTAACAAGAAGTGTAATTTAAGCAGGATCTTATTTCAACCATTCCTATCTTTGCATTGTTTATTGATTCTTAAAAGAACGTTAAGTGACGTCTTTTAATGTACCAATCATAGTATCAATTACATCTTTTAGATAGCTTTCTACTTTTCCTAATAAACTTTTCGGTTAAGAAAAATCTACATCTTCTGTTCCTACGCAAGAAATCATCTTCAAAGCAGTAGGTCTTCCACCACCTCCTTCTTCTTTCAAGACAAGATTGTCTATAGCTTAGAAAATTTTACTCATATGTCTGTTAATTTTAGCTGGGGAATTACCATTTGAAAGAATATCTAATAAATCATTTACAGAGACGAAATAGAAACGAGGGAAGGCTCTTCTTTTAGAATCCAAAAACTCATTTAAAGCTTTTTCACAAACCTTTAATTATGACTATATTTTCTCTAGTCTTTTAAGCATTCCTGAAATAGTACAAAATTATAAACAATTTTTTAATTCACAACCATGAGACATGATTTCTTTCATTTCCTTATCGATTCCAACAAATGAAGCTGATTCATTAGGTAATTCACGTTTGACTTCTTCGGATTAAATAAAAAGATTTTCTAAGAAAGACCAGGTTTTCTATACTTCGATTAATAATTATACAACATCATAAATGCTTCCTAGATCGGATTTCCATTTTTCAACTTCCTTTTCAAAATAGGCAATATATTTAGAAAGTAACATGTTGTTTATTTATAATTAATGTTCTTCCAAAGTTTCGAAATTTTCTTCGGATACTTTTAAAGTGTGAATATCAGTGTTTTTATGTTGAATAAGTTCGAATTAAATATCCTTCCAGAATTCAATGATTTTATTAAGATTTTTTTCCATTTTCAGCTCTTATTTAGATTAATCAGTAATTTCTTCAATTGCATCCTTAAAGTCAAATAATTTGAGATCCCAAATAGTTTATAATTCCAATTAATCATTTACTTCAAATTCTTTTTTTACAGTATCTTTTATTTTTTTCCAATGTCTACCATCAGTAGAATTCATAGAAGGATCTTTTAATTCTCCTAATAAAGGCAAGAAAGTGGCCCAATTTTTGAATTATTCTTAGATTCCTAAGAATGCATTTGATCTTTTATCAATACCTCTTAAATCAATAAGTGCTTTTCTTAATTTTTTAATTTCATCTTCCATATCCATTGTATTAATACTTCCCCATTTCATAACTTTATATTCATCAAAAGATTTTTCTGAAACCTCTATTCTTTACCATAATTTTTCTACAGCAAACAAATCATTTTTAATCTATTCCATTAATTTCTTACATCCAACAACCGAGTCAGGGAATTCGAACATTTAAGCTAAGTCATCATATTATTTTAGGTTTTATTCAAATTCATTTACTTTTTCTTTTACTTCTTGAATTCTTTAGAAAGACTCTTTTACACCAGTTTTATAGTTAAAGAAAGACTCCTTCTTTAATCCCATTAAGAATTCTTTTAAGGTTATTTCTTCGAATTTCTTTATCTTATCCTTTGTTTTATCAGATTCAGTCTTTACGGGGCCTTATATATCTTTTTTAACTGCCTAAGCAATTTTAGATAAGTTTTTCCATTCTTCTTATAGTTTTTTGCATTTTTTTATATCTGCATCTTTCGCGAGTTCTTTCTTTTTCAAAAACTACAACATTTCCTCAATAGTGTCTAAAATTAGTACATGATCTTCTTATTTAATTCTAACTTAATCCAAATTCTCCATTACAGTAATAAGTTCTTTTACGTTTTCGGATATATTCTTGTTTCTAATATCAATATTTTCTTTTGTAGAATCAATGAATTCGGATATATCTTTTAATTATTTAGCAATATAATTATATACAGCAGGTCCTGTAATTTCGTTATTTTAAGACTTGCTTTTTATAAATGAGCATTTAAAAGGATTACCTCTAACAGCTTATAATTCTCCATTTTCATCTTTGTATTTAATATCAATTTCTAAAGTAGCCTCTTCTTCAGAAGTGAAATTAATAAAATAAGAACCATCATCATTGTCTATTATTGTGAAGGCAATTAAAGAAGGATCAACTTCTTGGACTTCTTCTCCTTCTTTTTTTCTTCTCCTTATTTTTTTTCTAATTCTTATTTAGCTTTTTCTGCAGCTAATTTTTTGGCCTTCTTTTCTTCAGCTTCTTCTCCCTCTCCTTCATCTTCTTCCTCTTCTTCGCCTTCTTTAGGTGCCTCATTAACTTCTTCTATTTTTTTAAGTTTGGCAGGATTTCTGATTGTAACAACAAATTCATCAGAACCACTTTCTCTATTTTAGTCATTTTTATTACGAGCCTAAACTACAATGCATGTTTAAGTTCCAGTATTATTCTCACTTAACAAACCAGGACCATAAACTATAGTTTTTTCAGCCTTAGTGTTCAAATAATATTCGAAGAAGCTCTTAGTAATAGTATAATCTCCTTTATTCATACATACAGTTACTTCCACTTTTCTAGGCTATTCAAAAGTAGGAGTTTCACACACAATTTAATTCTCGCTAACAAATGTTCCTGATACTTCTTTTTCGATTTTCCCTCCGAAAAACTTGATACTGATATTCTAACTATCCTTAAATCCATCTCCTATTACTGTAATTTTAGTCTTACCTGTTATAGGTCCTAAACATGGCTTAATAGAAAATATTGCATAAGGAGGACCTGTAATAGAAGACACATTAAGTGCCCAAATATCGTTAAGCCAATTATTAGCCCAACCTCCAAAAATAATTACTCTAGATTCATTGGAATCATAGAACATAGCAGTACTTTCTCTTGGTTTAGGTTTTACTATAGTATTCTATAATTTATTTATTTTTTATTTTTTATTATTATAAAAATATTACTTTTTCACCAGAATTATCACTTTCCATATTAACAACAGCCCAATATAATCCGTCTACATCTAAAACCCAAGAATCATCTACATATTTTGAGTTTGCTCTATTTCCACCATCTTCAAATTATCCAACACTTCCTCCAAAAATGAAATACTTCCAAGAAGGAATAGAAGGAGTCATAATTCCTCCTGCATTCCACTTAGGAATTTCGTGAGTTAATTCAGGATCTATCCATTCATCTTTTTCAATATCATAGATAATAGTGTTCGAATACTATGATGAAAAGCTCCATCCTCCGAAAATCATTAATAAAGGTTTATTAGCCATCATAGCAGCTGAATGTCCTCCTCTTGGTTCTGGGGGATTTCCTTTAGGTTCTAATTTTGTCCATTCAAAGCCTTCAGTTTCTAAAACATAAAGGTCGTTAAAGGCTAGTCTTTAATAGTTAATACCTCCATGACCTCCAAAAACGAATACCTTTCCATCATAATAGGTAGCACTGTGCGCACAACGAGGTTATGGAGCTCCGATTTTCGATTCTGCATTTTTCGGTTCTCCTCCACTGATTTAGTTGGGTGGTTTTGACCATTATTGATTTGCTAAATTATAAATGTTGATATTTTTTTGTAAATATTTATATAGAAATATTTTTTACTTGTTTTTAAAATATAAGTGTCATTAAATCTCAAGTTAGAAGTATAACTTCCTCCAAATATTAGCATTCTATCAGCAGATATAGCACAAGCTGCATGATAACATCTTGGTAGTGGAACATCTCCAGAGCAGGTGAGTTATCTCCATTCACAGTTATTTCCTTAAATCTTTAGATTGAATACTTAATTGTTGGGAGATATTTTCCCGTCTTTAAAGTTATTCTTATCATTATCTAATCCTCCGAACATAATATGCTGTTTTCCAACTGTTACTATTGTATGTCCAGAACGAGTGGTGGGCTGCGTTGTCCCTGTTTATTTTAATTGAGTCCAAACTAAGGGTTAAGGCTTTTTTTTGTTATTTTATATAATAATTATTTTATTTATGTTATATGTTAATATTTATCTTATTTTTATTTACCATTTTTTTTCAAATACTTTCACTCTTCTTTTTTTTTTTTTTTTTAATATTTTATTTATATATATATATTTTTTTTAAGTTTTGTTTTTTTGTTTTTTTTTAAAAAAATTATATTGAAAAAAAGAAATAAATTTTATTTATAGTATTACATGAATATTTTTCATTTATCTCTTTATATTTTTTATTTTTTTTTCAAATTTAAATAAATAGATAAATAGACATATAATAAATATTTTTTATGTTACAAAAAATTTAAATATCTTTTTTTTTTTTATAATACAATAAATAATTACAGAAGTTTTACTTTTGAACAAAAATATTATTTGTTTTATAAAATACAATTTACAAATTATTTTTTAAATATATAAAGAAAAAAAAAAAGATTTAATTATAAAAAAATTGTATAAAGAATAAATTTTAAAAATAAAAATATTTAGATTATATAAAAATAAAAAAAAAAAAAAAATTTATAATATCAGACTTCAATATTTTACTCAGTTAATTCTTAAAATTAAATATAGTTTTTTTTTCTGAGATTTTTAATTTTTTTAATAAATAAAAAAACAAGCAAACATATTACTAAAAAAGCCAAACAAATGAATAGAATAAATTTAGTGTTAGATATTTCTTTACTTTAATGATTTAAGAAATTATCTTTAAACTAAATAACATTATCAATATGGTTGAGCTAAATTTAAATTTAATAATTGTGCTCTTAATTATACTAGAAACCTTAAAAAAGAACATAAAATCTAGTAAATTGCCTTCCTTTTATTTTACTTACATTTATTATATTATTTTACACTATTAACTTTTCTATACTTAACTTTTCTAAAATTAAATAATCTTAATTTGATTAATTCACTATTTCTTAATTAAATTATTCATCAAAATTGTTTGCATAAACACTTAGAATATTGGCATTTTTTTTATTGATCAATATATTTAAGTTTATAGTAAATTCTTAATCATAATCTCCAATTCCTTTATTAAAAAGATCTATAATAAAGCAATCGAAATTAGGTTTTTATAAAATATTAGCAAAAGAATATAAACTTAAAGTTTATTTCCAAATTTCATAATTCAAATTATTAGATGCAAATTAAATTTTCAGTAATCTTTTATTTATTATTATTATATATTAATATTTTAAAACCATAAATAAAAAATATTAATTTACTATGGCTAGAAAATCATTTTATCAAACATATACTTTATAGGAGGATAATTTTCTTAAAGAATATTAACAATGTCATTTTTATTTGTAAAAAAATTTATTACATCATCATTTTTTCCGATTTCAGGGCTAATTGCAATTATTTCTTTAGTCAATTTTTTTTTTTAATAAATAAAATAAAATAATATTACTTTTTTTAGCTAACATCCAATCTGTACATTCTCCATTACTTAAATAATATGTTCCGAGTGTTTATTATGAATTACCAATTCTATTTTTTTTTATAAAAAAACAAAAAATATTAAAAAAATACTATGCATCATTTGAAAATTTAGCTTCCTTCTAAAATTCCATATAAACATTATATTCTTTTATATATTGTTTTAATTAACCATTCTTAATGTCATTTTTATAATTAAAAGGCATGATCCACATATTTCCATATCTTATTTTTTTATTTTTTTAATTTATTAGAAATATTCTAAAAAATATTATTACGAATGCAAATTAAATGCAACCCTAATATTAGGTCTTTCATCAAGAAATTTCTTTAAGCTAGCAGTTTCGTTTTCTGAAAAAGGGAATTATCCTCTATAACCAGAATCACAAGGATTATTACTACTTCCTTAATTATCAAATGCAAATTCATATTCATAATTTCTATTCAAGTCTACCCCATTTGAATATTCATTAGCACATTTGATTTCTTTATGTCTATTTTTTCTTACATTATCTCTAATAGGTATATTATCAAAATTTTATCTTAAATATTCATATCCGTCTACATTAATAGCTGGTATAAACCTATATAAAATATTATAATTATTAAAATTTTTTTTTAAAAAAATACCAAACAACATTATATTTTAAAAATTAATTAATTTAAAAATCTCCATTAACATAATCATATATAATATGTAAATATGTGTACAAAAGCATAGAAAAAGACATAACTTCTCTAGCATGGTGTAAGCTATTTATTAAAACTCCTTATGCCTATATTTAACCTTCAGTAAGCACTTTTTTTATATAAATTATTTGAATTTTTTATAAATAAAATAAAAAAATACATGTCAATCCATATGCATAAATATCTCTATTTTCGGATGTTTTTCCAATAGAAAATTAAGCTATTGTTATTTCTGGGAAGTATTGTTTTGCTTTTTCATGAAAATTTAAAGCATCTTAATATATGAAAAATCCATCCTTTTTTTTTATTAATTTTACTTATTATTATTTTAATTTAATAATTTAAAACCATGCTTCCTTTATCAAGATTTTTTTATATTTCATTAAATGAAATATTTTTCTTTTTAATTTATTCAAATACATTAGTATATAAGTCTTAACAAAATAAATTTAAAATAATTAAAAAACAGAATATGTATTTAATCATTTATTTTGTAAAAATTATTTATTATTTTGTTATATATTTATTTATATTTGTGAAAATTTGTAATTAAACTTTAATAATTTTTTTATTAAAAATAAATATATATAACAAAAATTATTTTATATTTTTGTTTTTTTAAATTGTAAAATAAATTATAAAAAGATTAATAATTTTAAAACAAAAGAATATATAAATATTAATGACTAAAAAAAAAAAAAGGTAAAAAAAAAAAAAAGGTAAAAAAAAAAAAAAGATAAAAAATAAGATAAAAAATAAAATTATAAATTAAATAATATTAACTTTTGATATTTATAAATATTCTTATAAAAAAAATAATAATTATATTTTATTTTATTTGAAATATTGTATAAATTTCATTATATTTATATTAGTGTATAATTTATATATTTTCATACAGTAGTTGTATTTTCATCATCATTATTCATTTATAAAACAGAATTAGTATATTTCTTAGCATAAAGCCAATTACAGAAATATTTTGTTAAATTAACAATTTGTTTGTATAAATTCTATTTTTTAATAACTCTAAAATCGTTTAAATCAAACTAATCTAAATATCTTGGCAAAATTTCAGTAACAAATTCATTTGAAATTTCTAGAACATGTTAAGCATTATTAAAATTGCAGAATTCTTCATGTAATGGTATTTCTAATTATTACTCTTATAACATAACCCATCCTTTTTCATTCAAAGCTTTTCTAAATAAACAACAATAGAAAATTATTTCTTTTAAAGTTGCTAATTATAAATGCTTGCTGAGTTAATCAATAAAAAGTGCAAATATAAAATTACATTTAGTATCATATAGCCCATCTTCATTTAGTTGTCCTTCCTCAAAATTTCCAATACATATTTATTATAAATGCTACTAAATAACAAGATAATCTGATAGATTATTATTAAATTTCTATATTTGTAAAAAAAAAAATATATAAAATATTTTTCATTTAATAAATTTTATTACATCTATAGGAAAGGCTTATTTTATTTACTCAAAACTTAACTAATCATTTTCATTTAATATTATACTAATATCATTATTTAAAGACTCGAATAAATATAAAACTAGTTCTTCAATTATATTAATAGCATCGTTTGAATCTGTTGATAGATTATCAGTGTCTAAGTCTTAGTTTATTCCATCTCCTCCATACTTTATTAAATTATTAATATAAAAGGTATAAAAATATATATAGTTACATGAGATTATTAAAATTGGGATAATGATGGTCTCCCTCTTTATCCTTTATTTTTTTATGGTTTTTTCGTCCCTTAGGGCGTCTATTTATTTATAATTTTTTATAATTAATATTAAAATCATTTTTTACTTTTCCTTCATGCTTTTATTTAATATGTGTATATAGGGCGGGATAGGATAAATAACTTTTACCACATCCACAAGTATAATCTCTATTTGTTTAATCGGCTCTCACGCGCCTTGATTTTTTTTTATCTGTTTATGGTTATTATGAATTTTGTGATTATTATTAATTTCCATAGACTATGGGTGGCATTAATTCTAAAGCATCATCAGAATTAAATTCTTAGTTAAGTTTAAAATTACCGAAATTTTATCCAAACATATTAATATTATGTATATAATTATTTATTTTTTTAAAATATATATATTAATATATATATATTTTAATTTTTTGTGTTTTATTTTAATAATTATATTATAAAATGTTATTTAATTTTTTCTTATTTGAATATAGTTAAAAGAGATATGCAAATTATTATATTTTTTTTTCATAAAATTTTTAAAATAAAATTATTAATATTTAATAAAAAAATTATAAAAAAGTATATAAGTTATTATTAAAAGTGTATATATTTATTCTAAAAAACTTTATAAATAATTTAATAATAAAAATAAGAACTAAACAGAATAGATAATATTTTATAAAAAATAATAAATAGATTATATAATAAGATTTAAAATAATTAATAAAAATTTTATAAACTTAAATATTGTAATAATATACAAAATAATTTTTTTGTATTTAAGATTTAATAATAAATATATTAATATAAAGAAAAATAATAAATATAAATGAAAAAAAAATAACAAATAAATATATATATATAATATATATATAATAAATATATATATATATGTAAATAAATAATTTTAATATATAAATAATATATTTATTTATATATTTAAAATATATAATCATATTATTTTTATATAAATTAATTTTTTTTTTTTATTAAATTAATCACAATTTTTTTAGTTTCTAATATATATAAATAAGTTATAAATTTTATAAATTTATAATTATATCTAATATTTAATAAAAGTATTTAAAATAATATATTTTTTTTTAGTTTATTATATAATTTTTATATATTTTATTATATTATAATTTATAATTATTTACTTTTAAATTATTTTATCTTTTTTATTTTAATTAAATTAATTTTATTTAAAGATAATTACGTATTTTTTTTTTATTATATAAATTTTTACAGTATATAAAAATTTAGTAATAATATTTTAATATAAAGAATATTTTTTATTTAATTTATATATATGCATTTATTAATATATCTAATTTTTGTATAATTAATTTTAATAATAGATAACAATAATAATTTAAATATCTTAAGTTAAAATGAAATCATATTATATATATATATATATCTATATAAATATATTTTAATTTTATTATTATTTTTATAGTTATTTTATTTAAATAAAACTAAAATAAAATATATTTTTAATTATTAAAAAAGTAAATATGTTTTCATTAATTGTTGTTAATTATTAATATTTTTTTATTTTATAATATTTTTTTTTTATTTTATTTATTTTATATAAAAGTAATATCTAAAGTATTTAAAATGCTCCATATAATTAGTTTTATTAGATTAAATTTTTATTCAATTAGTATTAGAATTAAATTGAATTATTGTTTTTTATTCATAAACAGTATAATATACTTATTTACTACTATTTATATCTGCAATAAAATATACTTTTTTTATATATTATTCATTAAAAATAAAAAAATTAGAATTAAGATTTATTGTATCCAAATAAGATAAATATGCTAATCAAAAAAATATAATAAATTATTAGTTTATAAAATTTTATTTTTAAAAAGATATATTAGTTAAAAAAAATATATATATATTTATGTATTAATATATAAATATATATTAATATATATCTTTTTTTATATTTTTATTTTTATTAATTTATATAAAAGAATTTAATTATTTATTATCTTTTCATATATAATAAATATTGGTTTATAAATAATTAATAGCTTATAATTAAAATTTATAAATTTTTTATTCCTATTAATAATACTAAATCAATAAAAATATAAAATTATTTTTTGACAAATTAATATTATATTATTTTTAATTATTATAATTTTTTTTTTTTTTTTAAATATTTCTTTATCTTAATATATATATAATTTTAATTTTTTGTTATATTTATTTATAAATAAAAAGATATTATAAATATAAAATTACATAATTAAATTTTTATTTATTTAAAAAAAAAAAAACATTTAAGTAAAATACATTATAAATTAAATGTAATAAACAGCAAAATAATTTAGTTTTATCAATTATATAAATGATAAAAGATATGATCTTATTTTACCAACTATAGCATCTATATTATTTGTTTAGAGTATATTTAGCTGTGGTAATCTTACACGGGAAATTGCAAATGAAAACGACCTTGCTGGAGTTTCAAATGGATATTTAGGTTTTAAAAGAGATACTTCCGATGGTTAATGGAGATCTTTTAACGGAAACATAGAATTAATAGTTATTGTAGCCATAATTTATTGTTTAATTTCAACTTATATTAAAAAATAATATCCTTTCTCGTAATCTATTTTAAAAGTATACTATATTACATTCGGATTAGGTTATATTTTATATTTATTCCGAGAAGCAGCTATAGTATGGTTATTTCTTACTTCCCTAAATTTATTTTTATCCTTAGTTTTTTATAAATACAAATATTTCCCTGTTTTAATATGGCTTGTTAATCTTTCAATAATATATTTAAATGAAACATATAGAGGATATTATTAATATTTAACTTTTTTAAAAGATGTTGACCATTAAAGTCCTATAACCTGGCATTCTACATTCAATTTGACTATTTTGAGAATGATTTCTTTTGGAATGGATATACATTGGGCTTTTAAAAACTAATAATTTATTAATTATAATTCACATTTAAAGAAATGTGACTAATGTTCACTTTCTAATTAATAATCTATGTATTGTCTAAAATATAGATATGATAAAACACATCCAATTTCAAAATATGATTTCTTGAATTATTATAGCTTCTTATTATATTTACCTGTATTTCTAACAGGACCACCTTTGAATTTTAATGCTTTTGTAAGTTAATTGGATTATCCTTAAAAAAGAGACTTAAAAAAACTGTTCTTTATGGAGTAAAAACTTTAATTAGTTATACCGTTTTAATTGTTTTCACTCATTTGAATTATTCTTTTGCAATTACTACTAAAAAATAAAACTTCTAATATTGGGAAAAATTAGAACCTTAATAAATGATTAACCTTTGTATTCAAAAATTAAAATATATATTATCATTTTTATTAAATTTTAAAAATATATTTAATAATTTTTTTCATTTTTATGCATTGTTTTTTTTTTATTAAAAAAAATAAATAAAAATAAAATAAAAAGCATTTTCAAGTTTATTTTTTATCTGGATAAAATTCAATACTATTTGGAAAATAGCTAAATTCTGGGCAATGCTTGATAACATGGACGTTCCTGAAAATATGAATAGATGTATTTGCAATAATTATAATTTTGAAGGATTTTGGAGATCATGGCATAGAGGCTTTAATCAATGGTTATTAAGATACATATATTTTCCTCTAGGAGGTTCTACTAATAAAATATGGAATATTTGGGTTGTATTTACTTTTGTAGCTATATGGCATGATATGAACCTTAATTTAGTGCTCTGGGCTTGGGGAATATGCTTATGTTTAATGCCTGAAATAGCCATTAAAAATTATTTTAATCAAAAGAAAAATTAATATTTACACGAAACTACTATTTTTAAAATTATTTAGGGGTTAGCTGCTGGGCTTGTAATGGTTTTTATGTGTATAACTAATTTAATTGGATTTGGAATGGGATATGAAATTATGTCTTCAATGCTTGGTAATCTTTTTGGGACTTTAAAGGGTATTTTTGAACTTTTGCTTGTTATAATAGTTTTATCATTTTTTTCAGTATTTTAAATGGAGATAAGAAAGGTATAAGGAGATTTGGATAGAGGATTTTGAATTATATAATATAAATATTATATATTAAATTAATAGTAATATTATATAAAAAAATATAATATTCTTATAAATAAAATAATAAAAAAATATATATTATGTTTTTAATCTTTCATTTATTTTAAATAGAATCTTAATTTTTGGAACTATTTTCTTAATTATTTGATAGAATTCCAAAATTAACTTATTAATTATAGAAATTTTTATATTTATTTGATAAATATTATATTTAAGACTTTATAACTTATTAATATTCTGGTAATAATTAACTAGGAGGATTGTATTAATATTTTAATTTCTTTTTATTATTTTAATCCTCTGTTTATGTATAATATTAAATATTATCTTTTCTTTTCTTTTTTTAATATTAGATAGGAACAAATATATAACCATCATCATCATCTTGATCATAATAAAGACTTTATCCTATTTTTTAATAATTTACAAATAAATAATATGCTTTTTTATATATATTACGACGATTTTATTAACTAAAATATTATTAATCTGACTATTTATTTACTTTAAAATAATCATTATTTAGTTTCTAAGTTTACTTAGGTTATTATTACAAATCATTTTCGAACATAATTTAATAATTGTTAATTTAAATTTGCTATTATCCAATAGGTTAAGAAATATATGCTTACTAACTAAATGATTTTTTTTTTTTATATATATTATTGGATTCGAGTTTATTTTATATCAAATTATTTTCTTAATTCTAAATAACTTCCTTTATATTTTATAATTCCTATTATTAACTAAATTAACTATTCTACTATTCATTTAAAGTAATTTAAGATATTTATTTATTGACATTATCTTATAAATTCATTAAATATTCAAAAACATCATAAGAACTATTTTATTAGTTATTATCTTTTTTATTTTTTCTATTTTTATCTAAGCAATAATACAAAGAGTTTTTTTTTAATTTTTTTTCTTTTTTTTTATTTTCACTTAAATTATTTAATTTGTTTTTTTAAATTTATTATAACCTTTATGAGTTTTAAACTGATTAACTCGATTTTTTATGTAATGTATCTGTAAATTAAGTAGTATTTTATTATTTCTCATTGCTAAGCTAGTATATACTTGATTATTTTTTGTGATATTTGATGTCTTTGTCATGTTTTTATTTATTATTTTAAGTTATTTAATAAGAATCTATATATTAAATATTTTTCCCTTATCCGGAATGTTATTAAATAAGATTTTTTGTCATCTAGATATTATTTATATTAGATTATAATTAGCATTTATTTTTACCTTAAAAAAATTTTGAATTTTATTATTAATTTTAATCTAATTTTTTTTTATTTGGTTAAATTTTTTAATTGCTTTAGAACTCTAAATTATTAAAAGTGGCATAGTTTAGCTATTATTAAATATCTGAATATACATTATTATTTATATTATCACTTTTTATATTTTTTTATATTTATTTACATGAATTCTTTAACTATTCATTAATTAGTTATAAATCACTTAAAGTAGAAACACAATCTGCATATTTTTTTATTTTTTCGCTTTCTTGAATTAATTTATTATTTTCGTTTATTATTTGGCTTATGTTTTATAAATCTTCTTCATTTGTTATATTTCCTTAAATAATACATTCACTTAAATACTAGTAAGACTTTCTAATATTTAATTTAATTTAATTCTATGAAATATCATTTAAAATTTTATTATTCTTTTCGAATTCCTCTTTTAAATATTTTAACTCTTCATAAGCTATATGTGGTTCTCCATCGACTAAACTATTAATTATGTTAACTTATTTTATTATTTATTCTTTTAATTCTTAACATTTTTAAGATTATGCTTATATTTTTTCTATGCTTGATTAATTATTATTTTATTCATTTTCTTGTTAAATATAACCATTAACTTATTAGTTTCTATTACTGGTTTAATTTAAATTTTATCAAATAATAAATTGCTTGGATTTTTTGATTTGAATCATATTTAGACTATTATTTATTAATTAATTCTTAGTTATAAAGTATATTATTATTTAGATATTTTTTTTAATTTTCAGAAATATTTTAATTTCTTAGTACTTAATTTAAATCAATAAAATGTTTATTTAATTTTTTATTTTATTTTTATTCAATTTAATTATTTAATTATTAATTTTTCTATTCTTAATTAATTTAAATTAATTAATTTTACTCTTATTATTTACTTATATAATTTTATATTTAACCATTATCATATTATAAATCCTAATTATTACTTTAATAGTTATATTATTATTATTAATATAATTTCTATAATTCATTTAAATCTTATTATTAATATTAAATCTTTTAGTTTTCTCCTAAATTACTTTATTCCTCTTTATTCAAATATTGATTATTTTAATAGCAATTTTGATATGGCTTTTCAGAATAATTCAATTCATTAAATTTATTGTTTTGCAAATTTTAATTATTATTAAATGTTTATTAAATTTAGCTCTGTGAATATTATTATTGTCTTAATATCTATTCTTTATTATTTTAATTATCTTGAGTTTTCTATTAACTAAATTATTTTACTTAGCTTAATTATTATTAAGGGGATATATATTTTTTATTAAATAATTAATTCTAATTACTATATTTATTATAAAAATTATCAATATAATTAACATTTTTCTATTCAGAACTTTCATTTGAACAATAGTTTGTGATACTATTATTTAATTTTTTTTTATTTATATGCAATTAATCATTTTAATTTAACATTTTGTTACCATTAATATCATATTATTTTTTTATTTTATCCATTATTTATTATTCGTTTAAAAGACTTGCTTATACTAAATTGAAATCTTAGTTATTATTTGATTATGAGTAGTCTTATTATTTTTATTATTTTGATATATATTTTTAAGGACTTTAATTGTAATTTGGTATACTACTAATTAATTATTATGGAGAAATTTGAGACTGTAAATTTTCTTAAATATATTACGGAATATTATATAATTTATCAATTTGATTATTGAATACATTTTTATTTTAATTTAGTAACAAATTATTTCTAGTTTATATTTCCTCATTTAATTATTATTAATTTTAATTTATTCTTTCATTCAAATTTAATATTTTATCTGCATTTTCATCAATATTAGAACTAACTAATATTTAATTTAGTTTTTGATTATCTTTTAAAATCTATTCCTATAATTAATTTTCGTCTTAAATTAATTTTTTATTTTGTTTTAATAATTATTAATTTTATTCTGAAAATGAAAAAGCATTATTCTATTATTTTGTTTCTGATTGATCTAATTAAACTAATAATTTATTACATTCAAATATTTAATTATTCATTTTTTATAATTCGTCTTGACTTAAGTTATTATTTCCTTTAATTTCTTCATTCAAAATCTATATTTTCTCTCTTAATTATTTTTCTATAATATTTTTTTGTTATTAATCTATTATATTTAATTATTTGTTTTTTATATTATTTTGGTCAACATCAATTAAATAAAATTTATTATTTTCTTATATTATATGTTATTATTAAATTTGATTTTCTTAACTATTTGCTTATTTAATAATGCTTTCTTATTATGAAGTATTATTTATTTAAAAAGATTAATTCGATTATTATTATTTATTTGCTAATGATATTTAATCAAATAAACTATTTTATATACCAATAGAGTTTTCTTATTATAGAGTATTGTAATTTTTAAATTATTATTAATCTTAATTACTTAAATAATTATTATTTTTTAAGTTAATATTATCAATATTAAAGTTTTTATTTTATATTTATTTATTATTCTATAATAATTAAATATTTTAGCATATTTATTTATCAGAGTCTTAAGTATCTTATTAATATTAAATTTCTTGTATTTAATTTTATACTTATTGATTAAAATTAATAAAACCTTAAATTTAATTATCTTAAAGATTTTGGTTTTTAGCTGATTAGATGTTTTAACTTCCAGTTGAATATTATTACATTTAATCAGATTTTATAGGCGTATTAAATTAATAATTATATTGATTATTATTTAATGTATTTTTTACTTTTTCTTCATCTTTATTTTGTTATTATTAATAAATTTATTAGACTTCTGAATTATCTTGACTTTATTTATTATATTGTTATTAATCTATATTCTAATTTTGATTAAAAAAGGAACATTTTTTATTTTTTTATTTATATCTATTGGTGAGTTTTAAATTGAATTTTAATAACTATTAGAAATCGAATTTATTAATTTTTAAGAATTTTTTCTTATATTTTAATTCATTGATTGGAGTAAATCTTTATTATTAATTTAAGGATTATCTGTTATTTGATTTTTAAAAATTGTAATTTCATCATTTAATTATTAAATTTGATTTTATATATTAATTCCAGAAGTTTACTATTCAAATAAAATAGATTTTTATTCTTTTTAAATAATATTATTTAGTTTTTTGTTTATAAAAGTATTTATTCATTTATTTCTTTAATTTATTATTCGTTTAAACTTTCTTTATTTATTTATAGTAATTCATTTAATTGCTTATTTGATTATAAAATTTCTTCTTATTATTTATTTTTTGCTAACTATTCTTCATTTTTTATTTTTATTTTAATATATTTATTAATTTATTAATTTGTTAACTTTATTTGTTTAATTGACTATTTTTTAATTTATTTATTTAATTTATGATTCATTTAAACCTTCTATATTTATTTAAAGCAAATCATTTAAAATCTTATTTTCCTAGACTTATTTTTATTTATTTTTTATTTAATTATCATCATTATTTTGAGGCATATTTTATTCTTCTATCAATTATAAATCATTAACTTATTAATATATAATATTTGCCTACTATACTATTTATTCATTTAATTTTTATAATTATACTTTATCCATTTAAGGGTTTTAATTTTATATTTCTTATAAGTTTTCTAAAATATATAGTTGTTTTTCGATTTCTTAATATTATTATTTTTACTTGTCTTAAATATAAGCTTCTTTGTTTCCTATATAATCATTTAAATCAATTAATTTCTAATTATCAATTAAATCAGGATTATACTAAAATTAATTATTTAATAATTAATTTAATTTATTTGTTTATTCAACAATTTATACATTAATTTCTTTTATTTATTATTCATTAAAATCTTGTTTATCCATTTTAAGTAATTCATCTAATTTTTTCCTTTCTTATTAAATTTTATGTTTTTATTTATTAATTATCTAATCTTCATTATTTAATAGAGTTTTTGTTTAACTTTCTTCTTATTATTAGGCTTTATCAATTAATAAACAAATTATATTCGCCTATTATACTATTTCTTCATTTAATTTATTCAATTGTTATTTCTAAATTTAAGGGTTTTTGTTTTAAATTTCTTATAAGTTTTCTAAAATATTTAACTATTTTTAGATTTCTTGTTTTTTCTATTTATTTTATATTTAAATTTCTTCGTCTTTTTTTATTTAATCATTTAAATCAATTTATTTTTAATTATCTATTATTTCTTAATTCTTTTATGCAATTAATAATTAGTTTAGTTTATTTACTTATTATATAATTTATTTATTTGCTTCTTTTATTTATTATTCGTCTAAATCTTCTTTATTTATTTAAAGCAATCCATTTAAAATATTTCTTTCTTATTAAATTTTATCTTTTTATTTATTAATTATTTAATTTTAATCAATTTTTGTAGTATGTATTTATTTTTCTTCTTATTATTGATAACAACTGTCTATTAATTAAATAAATTAATATGCTTATTTTACTATTTCTTAATTTAATTATTTTTTATCTATTTAAGGGTTTGAATTTTATATTTCTTATAAATTTTCCAATACTTTTATTTATTTTTCTATATCTTTATCTTTAATACTTAACATTTAATTTTAAATTACATTTTATTTTATTTAATTTTAATATATTTATTAATTTATTAATTTGTTAACTTTATTTGTTTAATTGACTATTTTTTAATTTATTAATTTAATTTATGATTCATTTAAACCTTCTATATTCATTTAAAGCAAATCATTTAAAATCTTATTTTCCTAGACTTATTTTTATTTATTTTTTATTTAATTATCATCATTATTTTGAGGCATATTTTATTCTTCTATCAATTATATATCATTAACTTATTAATATATAATATTTGCCTTCTATACTATTTATTCATTTAATTTTTATAATTATACTTTATCCATTTAAGGGTTTTAATTTTATATTTCTTATAAGTTTTCTAAAATATATAGTTGTTTTTCGATTTCTTAATATTATTATTTTTCTTAATCTTTGTTTTTATTCTATTAAAACAATTACTTTGAATTAGATTATTCTCTAATTATATCTGTCTATATTATTTTTTATTTCCCTTATGTTATTTAATTATCATTATCAGAAAGTACTTAAGTGTTTATTTATTTTGGTTTGTAATTATTTTATTTTTATAATAATTAACTTAGTTTATTTGTTTAAATAACAATTTATCTATTTTTCTCTTATATTTTCTTTTAATCTAATTCATCATTATTAATCATAAGTAATTAATTTAAAATTTTATTTTCTTCAAAAAGTTCCTATTTGTATTTATTTTCAATCTAATCGGGATTATTATTTGGGTTAATTAGTTCATCTTCTTCCTATTTTAAAACATTATTTATAATTTGAGATATTATTTTTGCACGACTTTCTATTTCTTCGTTTAATTTATTT